AGTAACAACCCCCCCAAGGTTGATTGCAGTGATCAGCATTGAGCATCAGCTTGGACTGCACGCATTGCCTTCCATCAGCGGAAGCTTCCAAAAGTGGTCCTGTTGTTGTCGTTTGAGATCCCATGCATGCAGGTTCAGTGCTGCAATGCTGCACTTGAGCTGACGTGGAATTCTTGTCCATATATTGTAAGAAAAATGTGTTTGTCAAAGTAATATTGGGGTAGCTTTAATTTCATAGTGGTAGGGTGCGGCTAATAAAAATTAAGTATATCTTGAAATTACAGGAAACTCCATATGCATCTACAATTTTGCTCACGATGTTTCTTATGATCAAATTGAGAAGGACATAAAAAGATTTGGTCCGATTAAGCGTTTTGGAAAGACCTTCGAAGATAACAAGGTTCGTATTGGATAATTTTTGAGTGTCTGCTAGCCTTCTGTTGTTATATCCTTCCGTTATGCCTTTTCACGTTTTATGACTTGTCCGGTTTCTTCTAAGCAGCGACCGCGTTTGGGATTTGTGCAATTTGAGTCGTTTGAGTCCGCAGAAAACGCAATCAAGGTAGGATGCTTTTCTGTATTGTGTGTGTTATGTAGTGGAATAGATTTGCCATAAATCGATCCTGGTTGAGCTGTCCTGGTGGTTGTGATCAGTGTTTACGACATCCTTCTGTTTCGGCCTTTGTGGCCTCATTCAGACTTCTTTCATTGTCTTTCTTTGTTTTAAACAAGGCCTTGTGGATCTCGCTGCATTATAATATGCTACTTAGTTTAGTTGCTGTTGATGTACTTGCCTAACTGCTTATGTTTTGACCATGAATGTAGCTGAAGGTGTTTTAATATGATGCATCATTCTGTTAGTGGCATTAGAGATTTTAATGACTTTTGAATGACATGCTGATGATGTTTTGCTTTTCCAGTTGGGAGCTGTGGTTCACTGTTTGAAAGTGAGAGTGTAAAAAGCGCCATTGACTCCTGGAAAGAGCGTATCCGTATGAAGTGACAATTTCAGTAATTACACCCCTGGCTTGTTTCACTGCAGAGCGGACCTGTCAAAAAACCATCACCGCTTATTTGTAGTAGTAGTAGTAGTAGTAGTGAAGAGATGAACATTATACTCTTTACTGTTTTGACTATGAAATTTGAAAGTGAGGACTTATCATCAATCCCTCTTTTGATCTGGGTTAATTTTATTGCACTACTGTAACTTTTGATCACCACAAGAATGCATATCTTATACTATATATATATAGATATATATTTTGTGTTAGTGTTTAGGTTAAACATGTGTTTCCAGTTAAGGTTGTCGATTATGAACTGAAATTATTCTACCCAAAACATTGCTAGCACAGTCAATTTGCCATCGAGTGGCAAAGAATTGGGAAGATAAGATGCTCACAGCAGACAACCCGCTAGACCCTTAACAATTTTCCATTTGGAAATATAGGGAATGCTTCCATTGGCCTTGCCAATCTCCTGAATCGCCAAAAGTCTCGTGGCGCTCGAACGGCTGAAAATCGACCCCGCATATGAAGTCGTTTCGCACCAAGCACACAGAAGATCCTTTTCGAGTTGTTGCAGCAGCAACGGGAAACCAAGTGTTTGTAGCTCACATAGGATAAATCTTTTCCCCGCATTTTCTATGATCCCGAACAATATATTCCTCTGAGCCTCTGAGGCAACAAGGAAACCAGTGTGGAATGGACAACCTTGTTGAAAAGGCTAAGGGAGTTTTGTTCGAGTCAATACCAGCATTTGAGCACATGAAGCCTGAAATCTCTGCAGTTCCTCAGTTCCCGACATAAAGTCCAATGAGACATGCCATTTGGTAAAACTCGAGTACTAATGTACTGGTACCCCGTGATTGGCCCTTCAAAAGGTGAAACTCTCGTCATATTTTGGCAACTATCTTCAGTACGGGACTTTAGTCTTTTGATGACAGTAGGGGACATGCGGGAATCAAAGCTTCAATACTCTTCCAAGTGCTAATTAGAGTTTCCGCCCCCAACCTATGAGGATTAGCGCGGGACCAGAATCGCCATACCTGATTATATGCACTTGATCATCATCATCAATCAAAAAATCGTCTAGCTCCCCGTTCTTTATCTCTATTCATGTCGAATTATGACATCTCCAGCTCTTGATGTTTTCCAGGCTTTCAACATCGATGTGGCTTTCAACATTTTCAATAATTATGGAAATATTGAGAAAGCTTTGATTAAGGGGTTGTAAAGATCATAATCATTAAATGAAGGGCATGAGACTTATTTACTTTTTATTAATATTATTAAGACACTTTAAATATACTCCCTCTGGTCCTTAACATAAAGACATTTTTAATTTATCCTAAATTTTACCTAATAAACATGTTTAATTAAATAAAAAATTTTAACAATATTTCTTAATAATTAGAAGAACGCACAAATATCAAAACGTATTTTTAAGATTTTTTTCCCCTTCAATTAAAAACGCAAACTAGGTGAAATATATTACAAAATCAAAATGCCTTACATTAAGGATCGGAGGGAGTACTTTGATTCCTAAAAAGATTATAAAAACCTTAGTTTGTCATCACAGGAAAATTATCAGCTAAAATATAATACACAGAATCGGCAATCATAGATGTTAAGATTCCCAGCCGATCAACCATTTCATATAAGGACTATTCTCCTCTTCATCTAATCTAATTTTCCTTTTGTGCTTGATCTATCTATTTTTTTTTAGTCATGGAAATTACTCGATGTTGAAAATGTAAAACTCTATTTTATTAGCTGGACAGCTCTACTTCTGCAGTAAAGGTTAAAGCAGTCATAATTTTATTTTACTACTCATAATTATAAACCACGTTCCTTTTTAATAATTATTTTTTTTTCCAATGCTTTAATTAAAATATTTCCAAAAAAAAAATTGCGCCTATTTAATTGAAAAAAAAGGAAGGAGTATAGTAGTTAGCAGGAGTAGAAAAAGGAGAAAGGTCCATCACTTCACCTCAAGTTTTGGGACATCCGATAAAATAGAAACCTTGTCCTTAAGTTTGTGGGAGTAAAAAACACAAAAATAACGGGAAAATAACGCCAATTTTCGCTCCTTTTCTTCTTTTTTTTTTTCTGTTTAAAAAAATAATGTACTATCGTTTTTTTTAATGTACTTTTTTACATTTGTAATAAATAGAATAAATTAAGTTAATGTATTTTTTTAACACAAAGAAATTAAGTTCAAGATACACCAAAAAAGGTAAAATAATCCATATAGTAGATTGATATAATGAGTGATAATGTGGTACATATATAATTTTGAAATTATCCTTTTCTAATTGTTGACTGTTATAAAGAGTGAAATTTTTTAATTTTATTTCTTTTATTCTTCTTTCATTTTTTTTTTTAACATGTAAAGAGGGAAACTTAAATGCAACGTTTCAGGTAAGATGTAAGTAGCGGAAATGTGCAATCCCTCATTGGGTCATGCAATAATCATACGGAATGTGTAATTTATTCATAGGAATGTCAATCATTATCGTTTTCTAATTAGTTTCTTAAAAAAATGTGGCCTCTATTACAGTTAATACTGCAACCTTTCCAAATCAAGTAATTTCATTTTACCCATTGATCCTAGCAGTGGTGGGTTTGTCTGTTCTAATAATCGGATTAGGTTTTGGCTCGAATTAACACAGCAAAAAAAAACTAATTTTATATTTTCTATGTTCCGAAATTATTATCTAATTTAGGTATTTATATACGATACAAATTGTACAAAAAAGTAAAAATACAGTCTGGAAAATTATATGAATTTAATTAGCTGCATATTCCAAACTACAACAGCTGTGCAAAACTGGCTTAAGTAGGAAATCCGTCAATAACTTCATACAAATCATTATATGTGACCCTTCATGCATCTTCATACTTACAATGATCATATCTTGAACATGAGCCACATTTTCATGACCACATGTCCTCGCTTCAACTCGAGTTATATTGTAACAAATTATACTATTTCATTGATTAGATACATTATATTTTGATATTAACTCTGTTTCAAAATGATGACGGTATAATTTTTAGATTTTGGGAGGGAGTACATGTTTTGTAATGCAGTCGAACTGATTCGGGGTCAATAAAATTGGACATGTTACATTCAAGTTGGCATGCCGTTCTGTAGAAAAATTCTGAAATGAGATTTGATCAATCTAATCAATTCCAGTAAATTCTGATATTCTTTCATTAATTTATTTTCTCAAATATGATTTAGTGTTTTTATTTAAACTGAATGAAATTATATTATCTCTGTCCAAAAAACCAAAAAAAAAAGAAAGTCCAGACACAATGTAAACTTTTTCCTTTTTTTTTTCCTGGCAATAAGATGATTTTATATGTTTAATAAGGTGTTTTTAACTTGTAATGACCAAAAAAGTTGTATGGATAATTTTTAATTTTAAAAACCAATACGATAGTTATTATTGGTAAATAAAATACAAAAATTACTTTAAAATAAATTTTTTTTTACGAATTTAGACCATTATGACACATGTCCAGAGAGATTTTCCGATTGAGCGGGAACACTCATTTGTTCTGAAATCATCATCTCTTAATATACAAGGGTTTGTGAAAATATTTATTTATTCATCTCCATTAATTAATTAATAGTTTTTTTTTTTTGTACCAGAGACTACTAATTAATCCATTAATTAATTAATAGTTTTTTTTTTTTTTGTACCAGAGATTACTAATTAATTTTTATGATTTATACTTGTATATAAAGGAGTAAATACCAGAGATTGACCTTTTTGTCCTTGAAAGGCATGGAAAAGGCTATCTGTGGGTTCGTTTCGCTTCTAGTCGATTTTTCCAGATAGATATATTCCTTGTTAGCTGCGGACTGAGGAATATCGGGGGAATTCCTTTTTAGCTGCGGAGAACCTTGAATCTGAAAATTAGGGCAAAGCATCGGGTTTATTTCGTTGGTTCTTGTTAATCAATCTTTCCTCGACGGAAGGCGAGAAAAGAATGACGAGTGACGGGGAATCCGATGGGGGTGGGGTTTTTTTTGGGGCTATACGCTGCAATTCTACCCTCCTCTTGGAAGCAGAAAGAGATGTGAGGCTATTGGACTTCAATAAGAATACTTCTCCGAAACCAATCTCCTGCAACAGCGCTTTGGGGAAAGAGAATTGTGGAAATTCGCAGGATACGGTAAATCTCTTGTTGATTTTTCAAAACTCCCCTTTTCTTCATAAAATTTAGGGTTTGTTCGCTGTGCCATTCGATGTAGTCGAGTTCCATATGTACTTAAATTAGAGCTGATGAGTTTCCTTTTTACTAGTTTTTGTCCTGTTTTATCTCATTTTGATTGTGTCTTATCTTTCTTTCTGTTGAAGGCGAGAATCAATACTGAATTCAATGGGAGTGGACCTTCTCTTGGGACTGTTCCCTCGGGAGTGCCTCACGTTTCTACCATCAAGGGTTTTTTTCAGAAATTGACTTCTGTCTCCAACAAGAGAGTTTCTCTTGAATCAACTTCTGTGGAGCCTGGTTCCTCCAGCAAGAGCGATAATTTCTCTCTAAAACCGAAAGAGGTTTGTAAAAATGTTGGGCTCCTTTGTTTTTGGGGTTTTTTTTTTTGTTTGTTGAATCCTTAGGGTCAAAGTACTTCGATAGTTACATACTTTGACAGTTAGTCGAATCAAATTTCCCAATTTTCATCTGCTTTTCTTTGTTTTGTTTGGTTTGGAGGTTTGTCTGAGCCCATTAGATGGAGTGGCCAAACTTTGAGCTCTTTAAATTCTCTTTCTTCGTTGAATTAGGGCTTATCCTGCTGTTCTGTTCTTTGTCAGATTCTTTAGATATATTTTAAGCATTTGCAATGAGCAGACTTATGCCGACCAGTCAGGGTAAATTGACTTTGTTTTCGATGTTCTGTTTGCGTGAAATGAAGGTGAAAAAAGAGGATGATGATTTGTGGAAGTACTTTGGTGCTCCTTCCTTCAACTTTGCGGCCTCAATGGAGATATCCCCATTTTTCAATTATAAGGGAAGCTCTACATCTCTACAACCTGAGAAGGTAAAAAAAAAGAAGCTAAAATCTCTTTGCATTTTTTAAATCCTTTATTCTTCTTCATTTTCAAGGCTCCTTTCGCTGCATAGTTATTGGTCGAATTTTTCATCTTACCCAGAACAAGAATTAATGTATATGTATCATTTTTTAATCATCTTTGCTTATTTTGGTCCGATTCTCTTTATTCTGGTTGGTTGCCGCCTCTTGAAGGTCCAGCATCAAAGATTTCGGGTCTGATATGATATTTTTGCTGCTCTAAACTATCTTTTCTCTTCGAATTAAGGTTTATCCTGCTTTCTGTTTCTAGTCAGACTCTGAAAATGTATTTTAAGCTGAGTAATGCGATCTTGGACAGAACAATCAGGTCAAGAATACATACCAAATAAAGCAACCTTTTACTTTCTGACGTTTTCCTTGTCTTGTTTTTGATTGAAGGTGAAAACAGAGGATTTCGAGTTTCTTCATGCTCGAGGTCATTACCGTGAATGCCACTGCAATATCTCACCCTCAAAAAAGTTTATATTGGTCTACAACAAGGTTATTTTTTCCCCCTTCTTATAATACTTGTACCTTTTCTTTCTTTTTATCTTTTAATCTTTCTTCTTTTTGTATTTTCTCCCATTGGCTTTGATCGATTTTTTTTTTTTTTTTTAAATAAATTGTGGTGCTGTCCTTAGGTTCCTAATGAAGCACTCCCTCAGGTAGAAAGGGGAACCACAACTTTAGCTTTTATTTTCAAAGACGCGGTTATTGTAGCTGCTGATCATTGTGAGTTGTTTTAATATGTGGATCCTATTTATATTTTATGTGATCTTTTCTGAAGTATTAAATGGCATTCCCAACTCGTGTTAAATTTAGCATCAAGATCTCCTTCCCAAAGCTTGTTCAAATTACATCTCACATTGTTGCCACCATTTCTGGAGGAAGTGAATATTTGCTCTCCAATTTGAAAAGGAAGGTACTTACTCACCTGTATACTGATCTTTTCTTGTTAGGTTTAGCTGCAATCTAAGACAGTTTGCTTAGAATTTGTCTTTATGTGTATGTTAGTGTGACGAGGAACTCAAGGGTGGGAAAACAGTAGTTGTTGAAAAGGTGGCAAAGTGGCTGGCTGACGATTTGGCTCCTCAGGGATTGTCAGTAGGAGTATTGATTGGTGGGTGGGGCGATGATGTAAGTCTTTGGGTACTCTTTCTTTGGGTTTTATAGTTCACTAGAGTTTCCTTCAGCTCTACTTACGCATATTATTATAAATCATGGTGGTTTCTGTTCTTATGCAGGGTCCAGTCCTGTATCAAGTGAACCACAGGGGGGAAGTGGTGAAAAAGAAGAGGCTGTCTTCTACTGGATCTGGTTCAAGTTGGGCTCGTGTGTATGTGGGTTTCAGGTATCCGCCTTTTATAGTGGTTTTAGTCATCTTGGGTTGTAACATGTGAACATGGTTGTTAGTATGCAACTAGACACTGCACTAAACCTTAAGGATTTAATTTTTCGCTTGTTTGATAATTTTTCTCCAATCTGATTTTGTTTGAAGATTGCATTGGGCTCTAGTATTTTGTTGGATTTTTTCGCGCATTCAGATGAGTATTCGTAAGAGTTTCTGGGTGATTTATATAGGTGGCACAAGATGATGTCTGAAACTGATGCTGAAGATTTGGCAAAAGATGCCATCTGTTATGCTGCTTGTAAAGCTCTTTACAGTGGTGATTTTGCGAGTGGTATGCCTGTGATCTGCTGTGCCGCGTATCATCTCTCTTTTTCATTAGTTTGTATCTGAAGCTCAGTTCATTTAATTCTTGTTATCTTTTCCCCTGACATTCATGTTCTTTGTTGTTATTAAAGTTTACCGTGTAGGGAGTTCTGGTTGTCAGATGAACATTTCTGGATTTGACATTGGAAAATGGCGAAATGAAAACAAGCAGCTCTGGTGGCCCGATGTTTATGAACACATCTCAGCTTATCCTCCATATTGAAGAGAGTGTGAAAAGCTTGTTTCCAGCTTTTTGCTAATGGTTACTAATTGTGGGGAAATCAGCTCAAGCCACCACATCTAGTAGATGGTTTCCCTCTTTTCAGACCCCCCCCTACTTTGTATGTGTGATGAACTCAACCTCAATTATGTTGTATGAATGGAATGAAATGTCTGTAGTGGGGAAGATAATAATGGTTCCTGTCTTCCGTAGCTTAATGCTTGATGAAATGATTTTCCTTGTCTTTTTATGTTGGGTTGTGAAAACCTAAAGGAAGTTGCATTTATTAGGATTTGTGTAGCAAGGGGATATAGCTTTTGGATTTTTGTTTTGCCCTTTTTTCCCCCCTTTTTCCCTTGAAAGAAAGCATTTTTGGTAGCTTCAATTTGGACGTTGCAGCTTTGTTTACCTTTCACCTTCAATTGAACTAAACTGTTAATGTATAAATGTGTTATCTTTGTTAAGGAATCCTGCAATCTCCATCCTTCAGTGCATTTGTATTTTGTAAGTAGTGATATGTGTTGACTATGGAGCATCCCCTTACGATGTTTATGGGTCAGACGTTAATACTACAATAGTGGCCCATCTTAAGTTAAAATTAGTGAAGTTGAACGTACCAATTGGTTGCATATTTTTGCGACCTTCAATCAATAGTAACCGGACAATTTTTAACATTTATCCAAGGCTGGCGATATTGTTAAAACAATAAGTAGTTAGCTGCGAGAGCAAAAAAGATTCATCGTTCTTAAATTGCCCCGATGTCAAATGAATATAATACTCTCCCTCCTGCGATTCCGCCACCCCTTCAAGCAATTCTTTGATTTTCATTGGGTGGGCGTCAATTCTTTATGTTTATAATACAAAGATGAGTTCTGTTTTAATTTCTTGTCCATCTCTTAATCACAGTTTGGTTTCTCCCAATCCAAATTTACTCTTAAAATGTTTCCCAGATGTTGGTGGGCGGAGGCCGGTGATGTCTTCCCTGAGCAATTGGCAAGAAGCTAAAGCAAACTATTATTTTTCTTGTTTTTTGATCTCTGTTGGATTTCCGCACCGCGTCATCAATCCCGCTCTCCATGTCTGCTCTCGTCCAAAACATAAGAACTTCATCTGATTTTCAAACCAACACCTTCCCGAATCCCGAGCTCGAGCATGAATTTCTTGAATTTTAATGGTCTTTTAAATTTTATTCTTTTGCCATGAAGAAGAAAAAAAGAAAATAATAATACAAGAAGCTATCTATTTTTTTTTTTAGAAAAGAAAAAAAGAATACTATACTCTTATAACAATTTCCCCATATCGCAGTATAGATTAAAGAAAACTCAACCGCCATATGATCGAAATAATGAAATCAATACCCTGCAATCAATTGTTCATTATAATCATTTCCCTTTCATCCTACACCGCCTACAATTTCTTTTCATCCAGATATTCCAAGAAAAGCAAAACAATGGAGGACTAACCGTTGGGAGGACACACTGATTAGTGAAAACAGTTAGCTCTTTTTGACAAATCAGCTAGTTCAAAGTGAAAGTAACTAACTCTTTTTTGACCACTTTTTCATGATAACACATCTTCGCTTTAACTCGAGTTATATCGAAGCAAATTATATTATTTCATCAATTAGATACATTATAATTTGAATCTGTTTCAAAATAATGATGATTTTACTTGGATTTTAGGAGGGAGTACATGTTTTCTCAAGCAATCGAACTAATTCGGGGCAATAAAATTGGACGTGTCACTTTCAATTTGGCATCCCGTTCTGTAGAGAAATTTTGAAATGAGATTTAATCATTCTAATCAATTCCAGTAAATTCTGACATTCTTTTATTAATTAATTTTGTCAAATATGATTTAGTGCTTTTATTGAAACTGAATGAAATTATATATTACCTCTGCTCCAAAACAAAGAAAAATAGTGAGAATATGTAACAAGTAGTGCACAACAAAGTCATTCAAATGGAATATATGGAGGGAATATAGTATATCGGCCTTAGTTTTATTTTTATTTTTGTATTGAGAGAGAGCGCGAGCACACACAAAAAGGACAAGAAAAAATTGGAGTTGTCCATCATAAATGCGTAGCAACTAACAACTCCAAAATTGAATAGCTGCCACTTTTATATACATTGGCATTTCCTTTGGGACTAAATTAATGCACGAAACAATAAATTAATAAATAAACTGATTATTCCGAGTCGAGGTTTCTTCGCTTCTTTGGTTTTCCAAGGAAAAAAAAAAAAACGTAGTACTAGGGTGAATTAAATTTTTTTTTTATCTGTCATTTTTCATTTCAATGCAGCATTGAATACATTATTTCTAATTTCACATTTATCTTTCTTTATTTTGAGTAACATATATTAATGACAAAAACCTATTTTTCACTTCAATTTCAAAATTTTGTAGAGTTTCATAATCCTTAATTAAGGGTAAGAAATGTATTATACTGAAAAATAAAATTCTCAATCATGCATTATTTTTTTAATCATTGTGCATAACCTAAAACGACAAATTATATATATATATAAAAAATAGAGGTAGTACGAATAAGAAAGATTAAGAAATAAGAAAACCCTAACCCTCGCTCTTTAATTGGAGTAAGTACGTAGTTACAACTTACAAAACAAAATAACGGCAGGCGGTAGCTCTGGTTGGTTTGTTGTACCACGGCCGCTTGTGGTGGTGAGGTGGCGGTTTTGGTCCGGCGGGACGGTGATGAACGTAGTTTCTGTCCGGTAATTTCAAATGACACAGGGATATAACTTATATATATAATAAACGTGCTTTCACCCACCAAAAGTAAATGATATTTACTGCCTGAGTTCATAGAAAACCTAAAAGATGCTTCCCTAAAGCCTGCATGCATGTGATAATAATGGAACAGATCTCTTAATATTTGCTCATCAATATTCTCCTTTCCAATTTTGGCTAAGAAAACAGTGTCCTTTTTCCTCGTCAATCCCTCCCTTTCCATTGTTTTGGCTAAATAACAAATGATTCCCTCCTCTCTTTCTTTGTCTCTTCTTCCTTCCTTAAGTTCTCTTCATCTTTTTTTTTTAAAGCTTCCTTTGTCATTCTTGCCTCCAAAGTCCCTAGCTGCATGCTGTTCTTCTCTTCTCCTCTCTCTCTGAGGTAATGTTTCATTTTTCATTCTCCTCCTCCTCCTCCTCCTCCTCCTTCTTCTTCTTTTGTGTGTGTGTGTGTGTGTGTGTGTTTGAAGTTAGTTTTAGTAAGATCTAATTAAGTGAATATATAAATTACTATCAAATACTCCCTCCGTTACATAATTATTGTCCAGTTTGGATTCTCATTTTTTAGTTCGGGGGATTATTGTTTAAGAAAAGGAAAAAAAAAAAAAAGAATTTCAATCCAAAACAATCCTTGATCCTTGGAAGTACACATGCATCCATCAACATTCCACACCCAAATCCTCTCCATCATCAATTTCCGTCACTACTGAAACAATTCCACCTTCACCCGACCCAGGCAAAGAACTCCCACCTTCGGGTAAGCCTCTTGACCCGAATCACAACTCCCACGTTCAAGCTAGGTAGTTAAGAAAATGAAAACTCCGAAGGGCAGATTTCGGATCACAGCACCAAGAGATGAAGAAATGACCAATCTTGTACTTGTATCTTCTGTTTTGAAGAAACACACAAAGCCCTTTTGGGCCGGGCTTCCTTTTATATCTCCTAACAAAATGATATCTAATGGGCCGGGCTTCTGTTTTTTCCATTTATAATTTTTGAGGTTTCTTTTCATTTTTTCCCCATAAAAAATGAAGAAATAATTTAAATCTCAGGCTCTCATGTCCACTTGTAAAATATGTTTCTATTCCATTAATTTATCTTTGTTGTTTAATCTGGTTGATGTTTTGGTTTTCGATAAAAATTACAAGTAACTGTATTTTTTGTTCTGGTTGTAATTTAAATCTCTATGACAATACATCATAGACTTTTTCTTGTTTGTGTTTAGGTTTTCTTTGTAAATATTGTTGAATTTAATTATAATTTGAGTGGTTATTTAGTGCTCTCATGTCCACTTGTCACTTGTAAGGTGGCGAATCTTAATTGCATCCCTGTTATGGTATGTTAAAGTCAAAATTAATCGGTCCACTGTTCATTAGATGTGTGAATATATGTGTCTACTTCTGAATTGATTGCCTGTGTTTAGACATTACTATCATCACTTATTGTATGAAAAAATAAAAATTCTGATATACTATATAACGGTACATAAATAGATAGAAGAGATACGGTTATGTATGGAAAATATCGATTTTGTTGTTGTGATCTTATATCCTTTGTAGTGACAAAATGATTGATTAATGATAGTCTATAGTTATAGTAGTAATATTATAAAATAATAATTAATTTTCTTGTCAGAAATTGAAGATGGAAGTTCACGGAACGACGTTACTTTGTATGGTAATTAAGGATGGCGAAGAGGAGCATGCTATTGTAGCGTCGGACTCCCTAATGAGACTCGGCACTATGAGATGTGAGTTGTTCATATATATATATATATATATATACTTATATACTAAGTGTTATGGTTTTTTTTTTCAAAAAAGAAAAAAGGTTATGGTTCTTAATTATATGCATTTTGATATCAAATTGTTTCATTAACTTTTTTTTTTAATAACTTCTAGTTCCAACTCCCTCGGAAAAAATTTTCGACTTGGATTCGTCCAATAGTGTAGTTGCGGGTGCGGGAAATGCTGATTTTATTAAGTCTACTGCTGCAGCCCTCGAGAACCAGGTTAGCATTGTCCTCCCCCAAATATATTCAAGTTTGTTTTTTACTATATATATTAATTATTAACTAGATGTTAAGCCATATTTGCTGGGGGTATATTGTAATCTCCGTTATCAATGTTTTTCTTGTGTAATATTAGAAGTTAATGTAATGGATGATGAATAAATAAATGTGCAAATATTTATTTGGGGCGGAGGATATTTATTTTCCGAAATTATGAACGTGCAAATATTTTATACAGTATTTGTTTGGGTTGTCTTTCTAACTGGGCCAGAAAGAAATGGAGCAAAGGAGTCCAATGAGAAAGCGTCCAAACAATTTAGTAAATATCAAATTTGATTTCGGGTTGATTAAATTTTGGAAATGGTCTTTTACATTAGGCCGAATACACCTGTTAGTTTTCGATTTTGATATTTGGTTAAAATAGTTTTCTACATTTCAGAATATAACTTTCTGGTCATTTGACACTATTTATGCACTTTGACCATATTTAATATTAAGTCAACGGGGGGATTTTTGAAATAGTATTTTTGATTTTTGAAAAGAAATATATTGAATAAAATATGAATTTGCATATTAATAATTACATTAATCAATAAATTAAGATAGGTAATTTTCTGTATGAATAAGAACTCGAATTTACAAAATCCGACTTTATGCCAAAATCGAATTTGTGAAATCCAAACTCATTATTTCTCTCTTCTCCCAAATGCGACCTATATTTTTCTTTATTCACATTTCTAAGCCATCCCCCCTCCCCAAAAAAACACTCCAAAACATAAATATTAGAATTTAATTATCAACAATTTTTTAGAATTTGTCTGTTATAACCACTTTAGAATCATTTAATTTCTCTCTCCCTTTTAAATTTTAGTAATAACTTATAAATAGATGGATTTCCTTATAAAATGTTGAATTAATGATCAACAAGCTTTACTAATACAATTTATATGCAAATTGTCGAGTTATGCATATTCTACTCTTACTATTGCTACTACATTAAAAGTTGTGTAAAGAATTTGGGCGGTTTAATCAAAAGATCAAGTAATTAGTTTGATTTTTAGGAAAGTTCATCCTATTTTATTATTTTTAAAAATGTTTCTAAAATTCGATATGCCTGAATTGGTTTAATATTTCAAATACTATTTGAAATGAGAACGTGTGTTTGTGCTGCTATTAGATATTGTGTGGCCAGGATTTTAATATACATAAACTGTTTCCTTTTTTATTTTTTTGTTATAAAAAAGCCCATAGTTTTACCGTATTAGTTTGATGATTGGAACTGCTATTCAAAGGCATGTGAGTTGGTTCAAATTAACTTTTGTTGTTAGATTGAGGAAAACAGGGAATTCTTGAATAAGAGTGATCCTATATTGGTGGCTCGCACATTGGAAATGATGTTGTGTATCCCGAAATACAAAGGTGTGGATGACACAATATTTATTATTGCTGGATGGCAACCGGAAGAGGTAAGTATTAGTAGTATTATTTTCTGTCGACCTTAACAATTCGTCCTAATTAAGGACGACGAATTAAGGAAGGAGCAGAGAATTTCTTTCTTTCTTTTCAATTTATCTCAAGCTCTTTCTTTTTGTTACGAGATTATTATGAGAGGTGCTTCAATACAAACACTTTTATGATCTGTTGTCACTATTTTAAATTTTTGTATAGGGGCCTCATGTGTATGTGATAGATTCCAAAGGGTCTAGGTTGTTTGAACAGTTTAAAAATTTCGGACCTACTGGATTTAAGCATCTGCTTGGAAGTGGTGCAATGAGGCAAGTAAACCACTATCTCGACCAGGGGTATGCCTTCCTCGCTTGACTCTTGTAATTTAACAAAATACTAATTATTTTTTATTTTTTTGACATAAAAAAAAGATATTATATTTTAATTTGTACATAATGATGTTCACGTCAGAGTCTTGATCCATATATTTCTATAGGTACAGGTATGAAATGAGTCTCCAAGAAGCTCTTGACCTAGCAGAATCTGTCATTTGCTTCGCGTCGACTTTGGATCGTGGTACCGGTGGCCTTGTCCATGGTATTATTCCGGATTTCTGTAAATTTTATTTGTTTTATTAATTCCTGTTGTTGATCCATTTTTCATTCTCTCTAATTGACTTATCTTTTCCTTTTTGTTTTGAAGTGCGCTATTTGAGTAGGAATACTTTGAGACGTCAATCACCGCGAGACATCGCCAACTTAGTTGAAAACAAGTACAAAGAGGTCTTTCAGCAGTTCTTGAATGGCGGTTATTCTTCTATGGAGGAATAAATGGGTCCATTTGCCTATTTGGGGAAGTTCTGATTTCGGAAATTATCATGACCTATTGTGACGATGTTGATGTTTCTATGTATAATTAGCTAATTAATTGTGACTTTAATTTCAGGCTAAACCTTTTAGTATACGGTATTATCTTATTTTGAAATTTACCAAAACTTGCTTGGCTAAGTTAAGTGGAGTAGTTAGTGATAAGGTGCTTTGATTTGCCTCAGCAGGGACTTGACCTTTTGGAACTAAACCATTTCTAATGATTTGGTTTACATTCTCATTTTTGTGTCAGGGAGTTTGGAATGTGTTAAATATTGGTTGATTTGTGTACCCTCAGATGAATGATTTCTTTTATCGCATGGAGTATGAAATGTGTTTAATCTTCGGCAATTTGCATACTCTTCTTTTGCATTTTTTTCTTTTCTCATGCGGCGATGAAAGAATATCGGTTTGGAAAAAATGAGGTAAAATCTTCAACTAAATAACACAGTCTACCATCGGGTGCATCAATCGTGCGGAGCTTCATTCAATTATATTGCATATCCTGCTATCCAGACACTCTCCAGCTCCCAATAAGCTATATATAGAGAAACCTGACCAAATAGCTCTTTGGGACGCAAACAAACGTCCGATCAACATATGAAGTGTCCCGTTTAAGTTTCCCTATACATTGACCCTTCCTAACAGTTCTTTTGGGACTGGACACGTCCAATAGTACCTCAAAATTTTTATTTTTTTTTATTTTCTGAAAGGACCTTATCTAATTCTTCAACAAGTTTCAACTAAATAACATATCAAGCTACATGGTTGATAAAAATTATATACAATCTCAAAAGTTACATGCATAAAAATAGTTGTTTCTTGTTTCTTGGGTCAATAATTACTTAAGTTGTAATCTACAGGACAACTTCTGATCAAGAGAGAACAAAGAAGAATAAAAGAGTAACTCTTGATCTCTAATACTTAAGCAGAAGAGAGAGTTGTTCTCTACATTAGCTAAATGCACATTTTGATCCTTTACATTAACATTTCGCTAAAATAGTCCGCTACATTTCAGAATGTAACTTTTATTATCCTTTGGCACTATTCATACACTTTGACCATATTTACTTATTTAGTATTCTCTCCATTTTGAAATATATGTCGTTTGAGGATTAGGTGAATTTTTTTTAAATATATGTCGTTTTCACAAATTGAGGCATATTTGACCACTTTTTACTAATATTACCTTTGCATTGGAAATGAAACAGTATTTATAATAAATTTCTATTGGTTTGTGATGAATTGTATAAACAATAAATAAAGATATTTTTATAATTTAACTACATTAATTAATGTGTTCTTGGTTTTGATGATTTCTCTAGAAAGATGTAAAAAAAAAATAGAAAGAGTATCAAGTCAACTGGGGTATTTTTTGAATAAAATTATTATTTTTTTGAAAATTTCTAATATTGAATAAATATCAAAATAAACATTAAAATAATTAAATTAATAAAAAATTAAGATTAAAGAGATATTAAACAAATAAAAACTTTAAAATTTAGTTTCTTAAACTTACATAAAAATTAATTAAATTTTATTTTGCATGTGAAGTAAATATATTACTCTTTTGACAATCCCCAACAGAAAAAAATAATTAATCTAAAATTTAAGATTATACTCAAATCTAATTTTTTATGTTGGATATTTTTTATCTTATGAAACTGTAGAAAACTAGATTTACATAGTAGGTTCTTAAAAAAAAAATTCCCCTTAAGTGTCTTCAGTTTTTGACATCTTAAGTACGAATTGAAAAAAAAAATACTATTTAATAGATATTGTCAAAAAAATACTATTTAATAGATATTGTCAATGTATTGAAGTGTAATTATGGAGGTTAGGCCTACCAAATAAAGTAATACCTAATTATTCAAATAGTATCATATTATTAAAAACTCCAAAAGAAAATGAAAAAATATTTAGAAAGACATAAGTTTTTATTTTTTAAGGAAAAAATATTAAATTCTAAATTTTTGAATTTAGTCTAATATTTTATTAAAAATAACTCTAAATCTTATGTAATTGTAAAAGTTTTTAGAAATTAGTAATTTTTTTAAGGACTCTGCTAAATATATCTAGTTTCCTACAATAAGGACTCTGCTAAATATATCTAGTTTCCTACAATTTCATAAGTTAAAAAATATCCAGAATAAGAAATTAGATTTGAGTATAATCTTAAATTTTAGATTAATTTATCTTTTAATGTTAGAGATTGTCATAAGCTTATTATTTTTTACTTCATTCCAAGCCTTCCAAATTAAAAGTAATATAAAATTTGTGAAAAAAGTACAATTTATCAAATTATTTTTATGTAAGTTTAAGAAATTATATTTTTAAAATTTTTTATTTTTTTAATATATAATTTAAAATCTTGATTTTCTATCATGAAAGAAATATTATTTTAATATTTATTATTCAATATAAAAAAATTCAAAAATAAAAATTTTTATTCCAAAAGTATCCCTATTGACTTAATACTAAATCTGGTCAAAGTATATGAATAGTGTCAAGGACCAAAATTGATATATTGTGAAATAAAGATGACCATTTTAACCAAATATCTAGTCTAGTCTAGTATACATAGTTATATATATAAACTAGGGGTTGGGACCGCACAAGGTGCGGTCTGACCCGTGGAATGTGAAGGTTTTAGGTATTGGTATTCTTGTTGAATTGGGTGGAAATCCAATTGTGGGAGTTCAATATGCAAATTATGAACCTGAAGAGTGGAAATGCAAATGTGGTCCTACATGCAGAGCCGAAAAATGCAGAAGTCCTTGAGTCTTAACTTGGAGAGGAAAACATTTATACTGCAATCCAGAATGTGTTTATACCTCCCCAATGTACTTATCTCTCCCCTAGTACTATGTAGTAATATCCCTCTTACCTAGTATAATTGCTTCCTTCCTACATTGTACAATTTGAAAGAGGCTAGTAATCTAGAACAAATTTTTCTTCCTTTTTTTCATAGTTGTTAAAAGTTGCAACTGAACAACAAATGATACCGAAAGAACTACCGGAAATGGATCCATTGAGCTAAACTATACACAGTACATACAAACATTTTGAATAAAAACTAAACCTCAAAGCTGACAAATTTTCAGAGCAAAAAAGAGAAAGGAAAATGAAAATGTTCACTTCTTGGGATGAACAGCTTCTACAACAGCTTCAATCTCTTCTTTCACACTCCGTGGACAAGTTTCCACCCCGTTTCTTCCTAGGCTTCATCTTGTGTTTCCAACTGGTTATAGTTTGCAATGTCTCTATATAGAGTTCTCATCATGATCATGGCAACCATGCCAGAAAGGAAGAGAACGATCATCAAAGAATTTATGATGGAAAACCAATGGATCTGATCATCATTCATGAGAAGGTATGTATCCCAACGGGATGCCCACTTTATTTCACTTTCCTGCAAGGTAGAAAAGGACAGGTGCATACTACTTAATTTATGATGGAAAACCACCTCCTTATCTGTATCTACTTCCTGCGGAACAGTACTGCTTTGAACTAAATTTTTGGTGTTTTGGTTGCATGTTGTCACCTGAGGGTTCTTCTCGTCCACTCCTTGTACTCGTGATTGATGCTGTTAGAATTTTAAAAAATGAACCAGTAAGAAAGAAAGACAAAACTAAAAATTAAACAGGCACCTGTCGACCATGTTCATTATCTTTAATGCATATCATATGCTTTTGTGCTACCAAAATTCAAAATACAGCAAACATTTTGCACTTGGCAAAGGAACAAATGATGCAACAAAAACAGAAAAATATGGCTGAATGGAGGAAACCTGTTCGGGCTAACTTCAAATCCAACAATTCGGGAAGTTTCCAATTCAGGATCTCTATGGTACATGACCTTAAAGCTTAAGTGGTTATGGATAAAATACTTCTCCTCTTTGCTCTGACAAAATAGAGAAGAGTAACAAATGTCACATAAATAAGCAACAAGTATCGTAGAGGAGCCTTCTGCAAAATGCAACTTAACCCAGCATAGTTTCCTTTGAAACCAACACGGAAGCCATATTCATAAGCGGTTGACTGACTACCATCCCGCCTTTGTCTAATCACAGCAACTGAGAGATTATCCAGAATCCTGCAATCCACACAAGAAATCGACTATTAATTACACTACAACAGGAAGCCATAATTCGAGTTAAAAGCTTCTAAATAAGGACAGAGAAAAACACAGAGAGGACTTACATATTGACCCGGTACTCATCACCAATTTTTTCTTTAAAGTTCTTAGCAGCTTCAGCATTAAGCTTCACTTTACAAGCCACTTTGCAGGGCGTCTCTTGCCTCATATGAAACTGGGCATCAGCAAAACAATTTCACAAATTCGGAGCTATTAGTAGAATGGTCAAAGCAAATCGGTACTCCACAAGAATTTGATACAGAAATGGTTTTGTTCGCATAGATCCTTACCTCATAAACTGAATTCTCTATCCAGTCACCTCGAAGCACCTCTCCAAGGTTTTCAGCACTGTTTAAAATTTTCTTTGGCTTGCAGTATTGCAAGAAGTAGTAGTGATATGGAAGTTGCGTCTTTGTAGAGGACAGCTTGTTCACTTTGACAGAAAGCAGATCATTCTGCCCAAAAAAAACATGTATATCAAAAACCAAAAAAGAACAGGGAAGGGGAAGAGAGGAATAATGAAACACATACATCAAATCCAAGAACTAAACTACATCAACACTCGCATAAGTTTTGCTTCCTCAGCTCACAAACTAACTTAAGATTTTAATTACACAAATGCCAAAATCAAGTGTTCATTACTCAACAGTCTAACATACAATGCCCCAATAAAGATCCACATAAGGCAGGAACAAATCATTCATAAAGTTAATATCAATTCATGTTCAGCTTCACCAAAACCACAATCCACATGATGAAACGACAGGCAAAATGTCAACAAACTAATCAGACCTACACAGTGGAGAAAAAAAAAAGGAAATAAAATTACCGAAGAAATGACTTATTTATGGCAATCAGAAAGGTTGAGTTATTTATGGCCAATCTATATTTGACATTCTGAGAAACATTGCCACTCGGAAATTTTCAGCACCAAGATCCTTTAATGTCTCGTACTTTTCGCACAAAACTGAAATGAGATTGGTTGAATTTGGTGAAACCAATAAGCCTATTAATGCATTGCTTTCTTATCGTGTTAACATGTCAAGATTGTGAGGTGAAAAAAAAGTAGAAATTCAAATTCATTGCAGAAATATAATTTATTTTCATGGAGGTTGGAGCTTTAGACTATACCCCATTGGATGCATTCATAGCCAATGAATCCAAATACACATATGGAGAAGACTACAAAAGAATATCCGGTTCTTAAACAGAAAAACGATTGTATATTCAGAGTGCTTGCCCTCAAGAACTAACAAAGAGTGATGTTTTCATACCTTAATACCTATTGATAGGAACAACAAAGTGGTAATGTTCACCAAGACCGAATGCATGCCGATGGTAAGAAAGGTTGATGCTTCCCATCTCTACATCAGGGAAGGATCCTGAATAGATCATGATATGTTTCTTCAAGCAGTGAGTTAGTGCTCCGAGTTCTAACTGTCCACCCCATGCCGCGGTTGATTCCACATCTTTACAATAACTTTGAAACCTCTCTGCAATCTTATTATCAAATTCTCCCTCTTCAGCATTCTTGGAAACGAAAAAATGGGAGAAAATCAGAAGCATGATTTCTCATATAGGTTGCCACTATTTGTCAAGCCAAGAGGCTCGAGCTTGTTTTCTAATTTCTCATTTTCTGAAGCTCTCTCCCTTACTATGTTACCCTGCTCTTCTTGAATTTTTTGTTCCCTGGCAATTTTTTGTTCAGCTCTTTTGTCATGCCTTTGAACACTCTTGCTGGGCTTTGACCTTTCAACTTTATTTGTGACTGAAGTTCCAGCTATTGAGTTCATCAAACTGTCAAGTTGACCTTTTTCTTTACCATCATTGTTGGCACAACCGAGGCAAGTTCCTCAGCATGCTTTTGTTTCAGCTTTGCAGAAAGATTGGATATTCCATCCTCCACTTGTTTCTTCTTTGCTTTCTGCTCAGCCTTACTGCCTTTTGCAGCTGTCTTTTTCATTGGCATTTCCTTGTTATGCAGTTCACAGATTTCCTTCTTCCAGCAATAGTTGACAAATAATGAGCCAAAATAGATCAAAGCAGTTAACCTGGCAGTTTTAGGATTTTAGAAAACAATGGAGGGAGATAAACTAAACAGTAGATTATAGCAACATGAAACAAGCTCAAAGATGCAGGACGGCCGGAAATGGTAATGGATATATAACAAGATGGTTAAAAATTTAAACACAGAATGAAAGAGATAAATACAATAAGCTTAACAACACACTTAAATAGAACCAAACAGCAGATTTTAGAAAGATACAACACCTATGCCTAGAAAGCATCTTTTCATGGGTTTCCTGCGACACATTTTCTGAGATGTCCGGAAATGGCTTGTTCTCCATCTCAGATGTGCCCATTTGGAACTCTATATGAAAATAAAAACAGTGTCAGATTTAAAACAAATGTCGCATTTGATGAAGATAAAACAAAAATAAGATAATCATATAGAAACTATATATCCCAAGAACTGATGAGAGGAATATAGACTTATTATAAAAATCATAAAATTTCCTATCCATATGTAGAAGAAATTTTACTTCCAACACAGATGGGAGCCTTTAAACATTAGAACAACAGAAACAAAGAGCAACAATGTATATAGATACCTTAGTTGTTATGTTGCTATGTTGAATTCTGTTGCTAGTATGCCTTATTGTTCTCTTGATCTGTCAATGTTGTTCTTTGCTAACCTAAAAGTACAAGGAAGAAAAAATAGTCAATAAATAAGAGACAGTAAAACAATGATGAACTTTCAAACAACCAATTGAAAGAAATTTAAACAAAGCTCGATGAAAAACAAAAGCAGGAATATCAAGGAAAGCATTGCATTAAATGTGGTACAACTAACAACCTTGATATAAGACATATAGTTAGCACCATCATGAAGCTGAATATTACGCTTCTGCACTTTCTCTCCTTTCTTGGACATCACTGCCACCTTTGAACCATCAAATAAGCTTTTAACATTGCTGTCTGAGAAGACCTTCCTGGCCCAAGAACAGGAGTTTGGTGTGACAACGCCATTATCCACAAGATCATGAGTTATAGTACCATGCAAGTGCATTCTCACTTCAATATGTTTTCTAGATCTATGATACATTTTTCCAATATTCATTCGGATATAAAAGAGAAGCAAGCTTTGCAGAAAAGACTAAATTGAAATGCAAATGAGATGCTGACAGAATCCAACAAGCTGTAACAAAAGAGTAAAAACAATTTATGAAAGGTAAGATTTTGTACCTGTGGGAAGAATACTTCTCAGCCACGATTTGACAATGATGATTACTGAATATAATACAATAGTGGAAGCACTATTTTTTATTGTTGTGGTGTACTGTGTTGATACAGAGTTTGAACAAATGATAAAAGTATGTTTCAATCAATGCTTGTTGCTGATAAAACTTCACGGTAGACAACATTTTTAGTCCAGTCAAGTTTTGTACCAAGGGTGTTGTTGGCCTGATTAAGACCTTTATCTGTTCAATAGTTTTTGCTCTTGACAATGCAACATAAAGCTGACCATGGGAAAATACTGGTTCTTTTAAATATACACCAACATAATCTAAAGTCTGTCCTTGTGCCTTATTAATTGTCATTGCAAAACATAAACGCACAGGGAATTGTTTTCTTTTGAATGGAATTGAAGAAAAACTTTCTTGTGGAGCTTCTACTGTTATTCGAGGAATAAAAGCATACTTTCCCGTGTATGGACCAACTGAAATTCTAGCATAAATAAGATTTGGAGTAAAATCTAGACAAAGAAGACGTGTACCATTACATAATCCTTCGGTAGGATTAATGTTTCTAAGTAAAATGATAGGTGCATTCTTTTTTAAAACTAACCTATGTGGTGGTAGTCCCTGAGGAGTCAAAGTGTGGAATAACTCTTCTTGGTCTGGTATTGAGCAGCTGGTTGTAGTCTCATCAGATCCTAAATAAATGGTTTTTTCACCAGGGAATTTTTCAATTATAGTATCATTAATTTCTTGTACAAATTCATTTCTTGTAGTAAGTATAGCTCTTTTTACATATGGAGAAATATCAAAATCAGAAGTACTAATACCAGGAAAAACTATGTCTATTAATTGGTTTAACGATGTAGTATCATCTATGAAATTGATGTTTACCTTTGATGGTACTCTGATTTCACCTCTTTCATTCGTTTCTTCGGTTCCATCACCGATTTTCAACAAGTAAGAACAAAATTCAGGATCAAGTAATGCTCTCATATTTTGTTTTAGTTTTAGTTTCTCAATTTGATTCCACAGAGGTGACATTATAATGGAAGCATTAATGGTATCTTCTTGTGTGCCTTTTACAATCACAGGTAAGGTTTGACGAAAATCGCCACCAAATACAACAATCTTACCACCAAAAATAATATTTGAGCTCATTATATCTCTAAGCATCGCTTCAAACTTTTCAATGATACTACGATTTGCCATTGTAGTTTCGTCCCATATGACCAACTTTGTAACTTTCAATAGATAAGCTATGTACTCTGTTTTTTAACATTACACAATGAAGATTCTTTTTCATTCAAGGGAATTTTAAATCTAGAATGTGAAGTACGTCCACCAGGAAGTAAAAATGCTGCTACTCCTGATGTAGCCGTAGTAAGTGCGATGTTTTTTTCAGATCTGATTGTGGCAAGAAGTGCTCTATATAAAAAGATTTTCCCAGTACCTCCAGGTCCATCAACAAAGAATACCTTTGGTATATTGTTATTCACACAATACATAATACGATTATAAGCGAATTGTTGTGCTTCGTTTAACTGTGTAATAGCTAGAAGATCTTCTTCAGGTGTAACAATACGTAATTCAGTTTATAGAAAAGTAAAAGTAATAGCCAGAAGATCTCTTGTAAAAGTATCTTCAATATCTACTTGTAAATTGTTATTTATAGAAAAGTAATCTTCAAAATTTCTTCCCATTAAATATAAATGGCAAGCAATGATATCCACAAGTTTAGATCTAATTGCTTTAGTAGTTAAAAGTTGCTCATGTTTGAAATCCTCTGTCAAAAAACTTTCATATTTTAATAAGAGTTCTTCTGGGTTTTTAGGGTTACAGTAATAAAAAATAGTAGCAAATAGTTGTCTTAGAGCAGAAGACATTAAGTAAGCTATACCATCCTGGAGACACATTTCAGGAGTCTTGTCATGTTCCATTAATCCTAATGCCTGTGCTGCTTCTCTATATGTGTTAAAAGTTTGGCCTCTAACTGTTCTCAAGTTTTTATAGGATGTCGGTTTCCTAACATGCATTAATAGTAATCTCAAGTAAAACTTGTCACCTTCAGATGGGTGGCATATTAAGATACGGCCAACCACTTCTTGCTTTTGACGTGGTCGCCATTCTTTTGAACTTTTGTACCAAGTAAAATGTTCTGGAAATTCAATATAAAGACAATTTTTCTGTTTTGCATATTCGTCGTGTGCATTCATGTTAAAAAATTCAGTAAGCATAGTCTTTTTGAAAAAAGGATTATTTGTAATACTGCCTAGTGATTGATTAGCAGGAAAAGTTATAGACTGCTCATTTTCCAAATGAACTGGTAAAGGAATGACAGCAGGATGGGTACAATTAAGATCAAATGCAAAAATACGCCAAAATGCTTCAGGGGGTGAAATCCATCTTCCAGCCACAAAGTTTTTAATTTCATCAATCACACATTGTTCTCCTTCATTAATTATTTCGCAGAAAATTCGATCATGACCTTTGTATATATATTTGTAAATGTATTTTATAGCCTCAATTGTTGAACATATCTCAACATTAATGTGACAAGCAAATTTTGCTAATAAATATGCATTATAAGGAACTACCCATCAGTTGTCAAGTCGAACTCCCTTAACTTTAACAGTAGAATAATTTTTTCTTCGACAATATATTGGGTAAGAATTTAAACCTAATGTTGTAGATTCTGAAAAATCCTTAGGATAATTAAATTTGCATTTTTTGCCATTTTTCATACAAGGACATGTAGGATCAAGGTCGCCACATGGTCCATGCATCATGTATTTTTTCACTAAACTAAATAAATACTTTTCACTATTTCTATCAGGCAATTCCGCTTGAACAATTCGATCAAATGCTTTAGGTAAAAATATTTTTGAAGCTTGACTTAATATGAGCAAAAAATATGCATGTGGAAGGCCTCTTTTTTGAAACTCTATTACGTATGTATAAGCAATAACCTTACCAAAAATATCTTTTTCAAGTAATTCAAATTTTAAGACTTTTAAGTTTTGCTTCAAATATTCTAACAATGATGTCTGATCTATTCTGAGTCTCATCTGAATGTGAACAAAAAGGGTTTATTTCAAACCAACTGGGATTTGCAGTTATGGTCAAAAAAATGTCTGATTTTCCATAACGTTGAACCAAAAGTTATAGCATCCATGTATCTTTTACGCATATCTCTAGGGCCTCCTATAAATGATTTTGGCAATATTACCCGCCGACCAATCTCGGAACCTATATGATATCCTTGTGAAATACCATCTGAGAGACCACAATAAGTATCATTTCTCAAACGATTTTGCATTTCTTCAGTCTTAAAAATGTCTAGCCTCTGTGTTTCAATTTTAATGTACATATCTATTACGTATTATTGCAATAATCTACCAATATGCAGCAAAAATGATTAATCATGTTGTCTAACCTGAAAATTGTAGCAATAATATTCACGACATGATACTGTGTCCCTCTTCTTTTTTCGTGCACCTACATCACAGTGAATTATATTGTCAGACATGAGAATCTAAGAATATTTACAAATAAGAAGTATAAAAATTAAAAAATAACATAAATATCATAATTACCTTTCATTTCATCGTCTATGAAATCTTCCACATCTGTGTAGTTTTCGATGTGCCGTATAGATTCACCAGCACAACTTCTTGAAGTAACCATATCTTCTCCCACCATGTTAATTTTTTTAATAGATCGGTGCCAACCAGGGTGACCATCAGGAAATATAAGAGGGTATTGTAATGGATCATAACATCCAAAATATTGTTGAATAACTTGTGGTTTGTCATCCCTTTTTTTATTCTTTGGATAAACCTGAATGTGTTGTCCTATGATTTGCTCATTTTCGTTCGACTCTAACCATATTCCAGCAACTTGAGATACATAAGGTTTATTGAAAATATTATTGTTAAATGTGGGGTTTGCATGCAGAGCAATTTTCCATTCAGGCAAATTTTCGACATTGTTAAGATTTCTGAAAAAAATAGCATAAGGGTTGACTCTTAAAATATGCATCAACTTTTTCACAACATTTTCTCTAAATTTGTCAGAACTTATAGATATACGATTTGATACCTCATGTTCTGTATCGTAAAAATACAATTGCAAATTTTTTGGTTTTTCACCAGTCGATGGTATTAATGAATCCATAAAATGATAAAGTTGATCCTGAACACGAAATGTATAAATACCTCTATTTCTCCTGGCCAAAGATTTATCAGAATGAACACCTAATGATGTGAACGCAAACATATTGTTGTAACTACGAACACAATCGCGAAAATGTTTAGCATCTTCGGAATTACCAGTATAGAGTTCCACTAATTCTAATGGCATTTCTATTTCCTCCAGTTTTACCTTTCCGGATGAACAACAAAATCCTGGAGGTTCTCCATAAATGCGTTGTGCATCACAAAATTTACAGTTTGCTACATCCGGTAATATGTCAGGACTACTTGCTACAATACTTAATGGGTCAACAATATTTAATTTTTTTTCAGTCCTTCGTATCTTACGATTCCTATTCTTTTGGTTCTGATGATCATTAAAGGAACCGTATTTTCTTTTGTGAAACAAAGAACCTTTAGGTGGCATTTTTTGAAAATTCAGAAGTCCTTCTATGTTTTAAATGACTGATCGAAAACAAAAGATATACAACAAGCTAACAATAACCTGACTATTAAAATGTCAACGTTAAAATAAAAGAATCCTACGAATAAAATACAGAATTAAACATCTAATTTGAATATTTTTACAGCTTAACTATATAATGGAAAACGTACCTGTGTTACTATAAGTGACAAGAAACAGAAAATTTTGTTTTTTTCTTTTCAATCCAAAAGATAGTAGAGTGTCACCAGAGCGGAAAATAGCAAGCAATCCAAAAGAGTGTCACCAGAAACTGTAAGGTAGTAAACTGAATTAGGACATATGGAATTACCTTTTGCTCACAACCAAATAAACATACATACTACTGAACTCCATGCAACTGTGGAAATCACAAGCTAAGAAAATAAATAAAACATACATCTAATTTGTTATATCATTGATTCAAATATGAAAATATCAATATATTCACCGTCCACAACGCTGAATTCAAACCAAGAATTAGATGATTATTTATTTTATATGATTAATAGACAATGGTTTTATTCTAAAGAGCAAAAGGGCAGAAATCAACACTGAATATATGCTAAACTAAATGATATCAATGTAGAAGCATTTGTCAGCCCAGAGAGTGGATCCCTACCTTTATAAAGTGTTTCCTCGGAATCCGTCAGTTGTGACGCAAAATGTTTATTAGGATATGTTACCGGTCTTTCACTTTTGATGTGATCCAATGCTTAAGACAGGTTCATAATATGTTTTGACAGTTACACTGCAGTAAATACACAGAAAAACTGAGTTTCTCCACTTTTACCAATCGAAAAGATGTTCAATCAAATGATAATGAGAGTACAAACCATGAGACGTGCACATTTTTCAGTAGATGAAGGGGGAACAAACTTTAATTGTTAAGATAGCAACATTACCTCCGTGATCAATCCACAAAGGAATGAACCAAAACACGACCACCTTTCTTCTTAGCTTTGTTAATGACTTCAAAGTAGTGATCAAAATATTGCAAAATCTTTATGTCTTCTCTATCTAGCAATATATGCGTTCACCTGTCTAAAGAAAAAACAAAAAGGAGAACAATCAATTACATATAAGTCACATCTTTTGAAAATTTAATAGAAGTTATGATACAACTATTTATATTTACTGAAAGTATATCAATAAGAGGTGGTTACTATCAATTATGTTGTGGACAAAATCATTTGCATGAATTGGGGACAGGGAGTTGACTCTGTCAATATATGTGTGATATTCAAGCCTTTCAAAGTACTCCTATAAGTTGCAGCTGCAAGAGAATCCAAATAGAGACCTCCCTGTTTTATAAATATAGTTTTCAAACATTGTGAGAAAATGTTGACAGGCTGCCATCTCTCCATTAATACAACCAAACATGTGAGAATGGAATTTACCCATTGGAAGCTCTTTTTCAACATCTAGAAAGCACGAATGGGCTAAGAAATAGATGAGTGAAGAAACAAAAGCCTTGAAGATCTTAAGGCAGCGATATACTAAACAGGCATATATCTAGTTAAGCTTTTTTTTTTTTGGACAAATAATCAAACACAGAACCTAAGCTGCATAATCCAAAAGAATTAGAAAAATTACTACTTTTTAGTGATCAAGGTAAGACATGCATGCCACTCTCTTAAGAATTCTGAGATCTGGCCAATTCAATAAGTTTAACAAATCAGCAAAACAGAGGAAATTTAGTTAATTATCATCTCATGTACTAAAAGCTAGTGAATTTTACCCCGAAGCAAACAAAACTCCAATCAACCAACAAGATTACAGAGGCCAATGGATTATTTAGAGCCTTGAATTAAACACCTAATGCATATCCAATATGTAAACAAAACATACAATGCTTTAAAAGATTCAAACTTTAGGAATTCACTGCCGTTCAAATTTTAGGAAATCAATCAATCAAGAAAATTTTATTTAACTTGAATTAATTAAAGAGAGAAAAACTAACTTTCTGATTTCTTCTCGAAACGAATTAAATCCAATTGCTCTGTGAAATTTCAGAGGACAAACAGTTTTTTTTTTGGACAAACGCAGTGCAAATCTACCAAACAAATCTAGTAAAAATCTCGAAAACCAACGAAGGGGAAAGCATCAATTTCTTCACCGTCAACCGCACCGGATACCAGATCTAGGATGGAAAAGGTTGAAGGAAGGAGGGATAAAGGGACAGAAGTTTGGCCCGACATGCAGAACAAAATGGAGAGCAAATTCGGATCTTCTCGAAATTTCTTGGACGGGAAAGAGCACCGGTGAAAGAAAAAGAAGCACCGGCAACTGGAAACTGAAGAATTAGAAAACTCGTGCACAACATGTTTAATATAGAAGGTCCAATTGACCAGTGCCACGTATGCACAAGTGACCGAGAACCCATAAAAAACGGAGCCAAAATCTGGTATATATTTTAGATATATAGTTTAGTTAATATAAAGAGGGAATGTCCCTTTTTGGCATTGTTTCTTGGCCGTTGCCCTTCCACTCCGTTCACATGTCAATTGCCGATTTGCTGAGGCCGCCTTCTGTTTCCTTCTACCTTTGTTTCCCTTTATTCCTCTTTTCGGTTGCCGGTTCCCTTTTCGTGGCTTCATTTGGGCTTTCCCAGCAAAGTTCCTACAGGATTTCTCCTATCTCCTATTAAAATTTGTGCTCCGAAAATAGTTCTGTCTCCCGTTGCGTTTGTCACCTCTATCTTCTCTTTCCTTATTAAAAAACCCGGCTGCCTTTTCACGTTTATTTTCTCCTTCGCTATTACTCCCGTCCGATTTATGCTTTATGCCAAGTGGAATGTGTTTTTTTTCCCCCAAAGTGTGAAGGCAATCATCGATTCTTAGGCTGGTTCCATAATTTTCTCCTATCAATCTGATTTGTCCTTTTATCTGACTGAATTGCTCTGTTGGTTTTGATTTTTGGAGGTTGAATGAAATGGGTATGATAAATGATTGCATAGAGTTGTATTTGTAAAACATGCATACTAGGTGTTTGATTGTTGGTCTCAATGACTTATGACTTAACTAATAGACTACAAGTAGAAGAGTTCGCTTTGTGGGTAGTGACGTGTGGTGTGGGAAAGACAATGGAAAATATTCCATGAACAAGACTCGATTTTAGTGATTTACAGTCAACCGTATCCATTTGAACGATTTGGAATTACACCTCCGGCATTACACGCCATGTTGTTTTCTTCTCAATGAAAAACATGGAAGACCAGTATATTTCTACAGGCGCTAAGCTGCTTCATTAGTCGTGTATGAATTTGAAAAAAAAAGGATCAAACCAATATTGTCATTCTTTTCATCTAATGATGAATATAAAGTTAAAACGCTTTTACACTAAAAACTCACTTTTTGAGCCAATGCGTGGAAGACAAAATGACTCAAACTGTCATCAAAATAAACATTTGTTGTTTTCGACCTCAAAAAATGGCTAAAATTAATCCTTAACTTGAAAAAAAAAAGAGAAAAGAAAAGAGTTATAGCTTAGTGAACGATTTTGATTTCTACTTCACCATTATGCATGATATGATGAATCAATCCGGGTCACCGTTTTCTTATGACCGCACCTCGTGCGGTCACATCGTGTCTAGTTAATATATAGGACCAAAATGTGAATTTAGTCTAATATAAAGGATAATTTCAAATTTAATCTAATTAAAAAGAAATATCAGGGGGCAATATCATTTCAGTTGAGGTGGCAATTGGCAAACCCTTTATTCTTCTCCTCCGTGCTTCTGCCACCCCCGCCTATGTTTCGGGTTCCAAACTTCCAATCCCTTAAAACTCTGAAAGGTAAAAACCCTTTTGTAATTTTATTATTCTAGAAACTCTCGAATGTAATAAAGTTCAGTTCTTGGAACACTGCGATTCCTAATAGTCGTCGAACAGAGGGACTGCTGCGCCCTTTCAGCTGTTTCGCGTCGTGGGTTTGATTTATTATGATTGATTGAGCTGAATTATTCTCTTTTCTTCTTTGTTTTCGTAAGGAAATTTACGGTGGGGTTTTAATGTGATTTTACAAAGTTTGTTGATTTGGTCATATCAACGAGTGAGTCACTCAAAATGTCTTTTTCTTCTTTTTGTGGAGGTGTTTTGTTGTGTTTTTTGATGAATTGATTGCTTAGTTAGCTTTTTTTTTTTTTTCTTTGTGTATGTGTGTGTGGAGGTGTTTTGTTGTGTTTTTTGATGAATTGATTGCTTAATTAGCTTAAACTTTGATAATGGGCTCCATTGGTTTTTTTTTTTTTTTTGGGGGGTTCGGATGGTGATAGGAAATGCATTATGTCGTTCTTGGTCCTTTCTTTCATGGTGTAATGTATTTAGTTACCAATTTAAGGGGATTGGTCTTTTATTCATTTCATATTTTCCCATTTTTTGCATTTAATGTTTGATTAATTCGTATAGTTAGTTGATTTAGTGTGCTCGATCTTGCACATGTGTTTTTGATTTGCTAAAAAACGCATGTACTAACTGTTGATTAGATCATTTAAAGGGAAGTGTGTAAAATTTGACCACTTTGAACTCTTATTTTTCATTTTGTTTTTCCTGAATTTGATTTGATTGGATTGGTTGTATTCTTGTTACACTTGTGTGATTCTTTAGAGTACCGTATGTAATCTGGATTTATTTTTGTTTGTAATCTGGATTTATTTTCTCCTTCCTCTGTATTAGCCGTCGACATGATTGATACAGGCTTAGTTGTTGATATTGTCATCGCAATGATTGTAAAAACTGTTTGCTTTCATATTTAATACGATTAGCCAAGTTCTTGGGTAGTTCTAGTATTTTTGTTATTTATGTTGTGGATTGGGGGAGGGAATAAAAAAGAGAAGACACGAGATGGGCGAATCTTAAGTAATATTTCGTTTGTCATAAATAAGTCGTTCTACTGTTTGGTTGATAGTCTCATTATAATTGTATGGATTGTGTGTGCCTATCCATCCATGTGGTCTTTGGATTTTCAAAAAACGTAACATCTGGGTTGGTGAGATGATAAAAACTGGCGCAGCAACTTGGATGAGATACAAAAACTTGCTGAGCTCCAGGCAAGGCCTTTTTATTTGTTTTTGACTGTTCTTTTAGTGAGGGAAAACTATAGTTGGAGACACTTCATCTTAAGTCACAAAATACACCTTTATGTTCTTGTCAGTGGCTATAGTTTTAAATTTTGGAAAAAAGGGAAAAAAAAATAGTAAGTATGCTCCTATATAAATTTAATAATCTGCCGGTTAAATTTGAGTAATTTATGTATATGTGGATCATTCTTTTTGAGTGATTTAAATAACTGGTAGGTTAAAGTTTAGTTATTTATGTGGATTCCAAACAATCTTTGTTAAGTGGTAGGTACTCTCATGTATATAAAGTGTACAGAACTAGTCATTTAGCTTGTAGTCATATTTTCTCTTATTTGCCTTACTTTTCCTAGGCGATATCATTTTGTTACAGTGTGATATGTACTTGTTAGGAGTTTAGATTCTGGGTTAGAGTTGTAAAACAGCATCCACAACCACCGCCCCCTTCTTCCTGCATAGCTTTTTGTCTAGGTTGTCTACACCATATCTCCATCTACTTTCTATTACTAGTGCTAATTAATATCTCGATATTTAAGTATAGGCTGTATCTGGAAAAGGAATTCGATTGTATTTGTTAAGTTCTTTATTGAAAATCCGGAAACTGGTGGAAATGGATGGAACAAGACTGGATCCTGTGATGAGGCCAGTGTTTCAACTGCATTTGATTGGCTGTCTCATTAACGCTGTGGGATTTGTGTGTGTGGTGCTGTTGATGTGGCCTTTTTACTTTTAAAAATTGCCCCAGAAACGATTAAAATCCTTACTAAGTTAACCTTGCTGAAGTTGATTCCTACTGGTCATTTTGTTCATGTGAATTGAATTTAAATCTGATAGGCTGCTTTTTTCTTTGTGAATTTGTGTCTGCGTTGTATGTGATAACTGGCAGCTCCCTTATCAATCAAATCAGGACGTCTCTTGAAAAGAAACATAATTGTTTTGGTTATTTTATGTAGAGAGTGTTGGAAATTGATGAAATGATAAATCAGGTTGTGGATCTTTTCATGATACTGTCATAAATAATTCCATGGATCTTGTCATAAATAAAAATAACTTCTGTTTGGTTATTGGAGTTTCATTGAAATCGTGTGATTTGTGCTGCTCCCGCAGATAGCCTTTAGAATTTAAAAAAGGGGGCTACAACGCTGATCTAGTTGACTCTGTTGGACTGGTTTCCTGTTATTGTTTTGTTGTCGTGATTTGGAGTTTTGGCTTTGTTTTGGCAGTTGAATACTTTGAGTGAATCTGTGAAGCATGTATTCAAACTGGATTTTTAGTAATCAGTGACACATGATCATATCGCCAGCCTCACATAGGGGATTGGGTCTTAATTTTTGGTTTAGAAGTTCTCATCTCTCATCTCCTTGTTTGTAGTAAGTGGTTGACAATTTCTTGAAAAGGGATTCTATTGTTTTGTTTCTGTGATTCTGGAAAGAACAGTAAAAAGGGTAATTAAGACTGTATATCTTTGCACGGTTGTGTCCTCTCATAAGCAAGACTTTGGATCTTGTCATTACTTAGTCTTCAGTGCTCTTTGGTTGCTAAAATCTTTTCACGATTCTATTATTTCTCTCATGAAAATCGCTCAATGTAATGCATCTAGCTGTGCATGTGATTCTTTTTTAATTTTTAAGCAACGGCTGTGAAAGGTGTAAAAAGTCTCAAAAATCACCTGGCCAAGCTCATTATTATGTTCTTCATGTTCTTGTAAATTGGAGTTGATTTTATTAGCCATATAATGGGTGATTAATTTTGTTGATTGTGAAATGGTGTCTAAACTGGGTGAGATACGCTTGCTATCTTAATATTTGTTAGTAGCTGTGTAGCGTTCTTATTGATTATGTTGCAGATGGAAATGCTGTCATATAGTGCTCCTGATCTCACCTCCAGGAGAGCCAAGGTGATGGGCATTGCTTTTGTTAAACAGTATTACCAACTGCTTCACCAACAGCCTGAGCTAGTGCACAAATTTTATCGAGATTCAAGCTTCTTGAGACACGCTGATTCTGACGGCACAGTGACCACCATAACCACCTTGCGAGTACGAGTTTCATACTTTTTCAATTTATTTCTAAGTAACTGCCACTTATTTAGTACTACAAGGATATTTGTATCTTCATTATGCACAATTTTGGATACTTGTTGCACCTTGTTTTTTTCTCATTGACGTATGCAGTTCATGTATGATATTCAACAGTCGTTCTTACATCCATATGGAGTCAGTTTCGAACAGATCTTTTAATTCTAGTTGTATTTTTTTGTTGTCATATTTGTTGATAAGCATTAACTAATCAATCAGACAACATTCTTACCATCATTGTATTTTTATCAAACTCACACCTCTTCAACTTGATCAGGCAATCAACAATAAGATTGTATCATTTGGTTATGGGAACTACAAGATAGAGGTCAAAACTGCACATGTTGAAGATTCTTACCAGGCCAGCATATTTATTAAAGTAACCGGATGTTTAACTGGAACAGACAATGTGCCTCGGAATTTCACGCAGTCATTTTTCCTAGCTCCACAAGAAAATGGATATTTCATTGAAAATAGCTGTTTTGATGGTATAGAGGAGAGCAAACCATCCAAGACCAGTTCGGCATTGGCACATGCTGCTGCTGGTGTTGTTTCTGTGACCGCACCTCTGACATTGGATCCAGGTTAATTTAGTATGTCTGGTCCCACATTTTATGAGGCTGAAACAATATTACTTGCCGTTGAATGTAATTCTAGTTTGTTGGTCTCATTTTCAGAATCTGGTCTTGCTGCGGATCATTCTGCACGTGACAGTGTAACTGCTTCAGAAACAGAGGAAACTCAAAGTGATCCAGAGGTCTGCTATTGTTCATGAAGATATAGATGGTCCCAGATTCTATCTTGTGCTTCCTTAATATGTTTCTATCATATATGTTTTGTTTTGTGTGTTATCCTATCGTAAAGAGCAGCCACTGACAGCGGTGGGCATAGTTTTTGGTTTGACTGTTTTCGCACTGCTTGTGGTTTCTCTTTATAGTTTTCAAGTATTTTTTTAATCCCATTTTTTCTCTTGTAACATGGTTTAGTATTCTTGCTTATCCTTTGAGAATTTACGTTGGTCAAGGTTAAGTCAGCTTCTCGTACTCCTCCAATGCGGGGCTTTGATCCAGTGTGGTGTTTCCATAGCAGTGCAACTGTAGCAGCTGTTAATGCCAATGAAGAGGCTGGTACTTCCAAAAAGGCTCCTGTAGTTGCAAGGGGTCCTGAAAGTATCTATGCCCATAAAGAAGGTATTTTCTTGGCAATCTATCCCGATATTAAAGATGTTTGTAATGCCATTTAACTCTATGAGAGGTCATAAGATGGTAGAAAATGTGTTTTGTCAAAATAATATTGAGGCAGTTTTAATTTCATCGTAGTAGGGTGTGGCTAATGAAAAAATTATTATATCTTAAAAATACAGGAAACTCCATTTATATCTACAATTTGGCTCCGGGCGTAACTTATGATCAAGTTGAGAAGGACTTGGAAAGATTTGGGCGGATCAAGTGGGTTGGAAAGTCCCAAGGAAACCAGGTTCATATAGGACTATTTCTTGAGTGTCTTCTAGAATTCAGTTGTTGTGCCTTTTCACGTTTTGTGACTTGTCCTGGTTTCTTCTGGGCAGCCCTGTCCGCGTTTGGGATTTGTGCAATTTGAGTCGTTTGAGTCTGCTGAAAACGCAATCAAGGTAGGTTGCTTTTATGTACTGTGCACTATGTAGTGGTCTATGATTTTCCATTTGCTAAACGGTCCTGGTTGAGCTGTCCTGGTTGTGATCAGTGTTTGCAACAGCCATTTGTCTCGGCCGTTGTAGCCTCATTTAGTACTTCTTTCATCGTCTTTCCTTGTTTTAAACAAGGCTTTGTGGACCTCGAGGGACAGCTGCCTTATAACTTGCTACTTAGTTTAGCTGTTGTTCATTTACTTGCCTAACTGCTTATGTTTTGACCATAAATGTTCACCTGACAGGCATCGCCCATAAACATCGGTGGTCGTCTAGCTGTAGCTGAAGATTTTAGTATGATCCATCATTCTGTTAGTGGAAATTGAGATTTTAATCACTTTTGTATGACATTCTGATGGTGTTTTGCTTTTCCAGTCGGGAGCGGTGGATCGCTGTTTGAAAGTGAGAGTGTCAAAGACGTGATTGATGCCTTTAAGAAGCAGATCCATTTGAAGTGACAGTTTCAGCAGTATACCTCTGTCAAGGGCGAGTTCAGTTTCATCATCATTATGGCTTTTTGTCTAGGTTGTCTACATATTTCCATCTACTTTCTATTACTAGTGCTAATTAATATCTCGATACTTAAGTATGGGCTGTTTCAACTGCATTTGATTGGTTATTGGAGTTTCATTGAAGTCGTGTGATTTGTGCTGGCCTCGCAGATAGGCTTTAGAATTCAAAAAAAGGGGGCTACAACGCTGATCTAGTTGACTCTGTTGGACTGGTTTCTGTTATTGTTTTGTTGTCGTGATTTGGATTTTTGGCCTTGTTTTGGCAGTTGAATACTTGGAGTGAATCTGTGAAGCATGTATTCAAACTGGATTTTTAGTAATCAGTAACACATGATCATATCGCCAGCCTCACATAGGGGATTGGGTCTTAATTTCTAATTCTGGATATATTTTAACTTATGAAATTGTAGGAAACTAGATATATTTAGCAGAGTCCTAAAAAACATTACTAATTTCTAAAAATTTTACAATTTCATAAGATTTAGAGTTATTTTTAATTAAATATTAGACTAAATTCAAAAATTTAGAATTTAATATTTTTTCCTTAAAAAATAAAAACTTATGTCTTTCTAAATATTTTTTCATTTTCTTTTGGAGTTTTTAATAATATGATACTATTTGAATAATTAGGTATTACTTTATTTGGTAGGCCTAACCTCCATAATTACACTTCAATACATTGACAATATCTATTAAATAGTATTTTTTTGACAATATCTATTAAATAGTATTTTTTTTTTCGATTCGTACTTAAGATGTCAAAAACTGAAGACACTTAAGGGGAATTTTTTTTTTAAGAACCTACTATGTAAATCTAGTTTTCTACAGTTTCATAAGATAAAAAATATCCAACATAAAAAATTAGATTTGAGTATAATCTTAAATTTTAGATTAATTATTTTTTTCTGTTGGGGATTGTCAAAAGAGTAATATATTTACTTCACATGCAAAATAAAATTTAATTAATTTTTATGTAAGTTTAAGAAACTAAATTTTAAAGTTTTTATTTGTTTAATATCTCTTTAATCTTAATTTTTATTAATTTAATTATTTTAATTTTTATTTTGATATTTATTCAATATTAGAAATTTTCAAAAAATAATAATTTTATTCAAAAATACCCCAGTTGACTTGATACTCTTTCTATTTTTTTACATCTTTCTAGAGAAATCATCAAAACCAAGAACACATTAATTAATGTAGTTAAATTATAAAAATATCTTTATTTATTGTTTATACAATTCATCACAAACCAATAGAAATTTATTATAAATACTTTTTCATTTCCAATGCAAAGGTAATATTAGTAAAAAGTGGTCAAATATGCCTCAATTTGTGAAAACGACATATATTTAAAAAAAATTCACCTAATCCTCAAACGACATATATTTCAAAATGGAGAGAATACTAAATAAGTAAATATGGTCAAAGTGTATGAATAGTGCCAAAGGATAATAAAAGTTACATTCTGAAATGTAGCGGACTATTTTAGCGAAATGTTAATGTAAAGGATCAAAATGTGCATTTAGCTAATGTAGAGAACAACTCTCTCTTTCTGCTTAAGTATTAGAGATCAAGAGTTACTCTTTTATTCTTCTTTGTTCTCTCTTGATCAGAAGTTGTCCTGTAGATTACAACTTAAGTAATTATTGACCCAAGAAACAAGAAACAACTATTTTTATGCATGTAACTTTTGAGATTGTATATAATTTTTATCAACCATGTAGCTTGATATGTTATTTAGTTGAAACTTGTTGAAGAATTAGATAAGGTCCTTTCAGAAAATAAAAAAAAATAAAAATTTTGAGGTACTATTGGACGTGTCCAGTCCCAAAAGAACTGTTAGGAAGGGTCAGTGTATAGGGAAACTTAAACGGGACACTTCATATGTTGATCGGACGTTTGTTTGCGTCCCAAAGAGCTATTTGGTCAGGTTTCTCTATATATAGCTTATTGGGAGCTGGAGAGTGTCTGGATAGCAGGATATGCAATATAATTGAATGAAGCTCCGCACGATTGATGCACCCGATGGTAGACTGTGTTATTTAGTTGAAGATTTTACCTCATTTTTTCCAAACTGATATTCTTTCATCGCCGCATGAGAAAAGAAAAAAAAAATGCAAAAGAAGAGTATGCAAATTGCCGAAGATTAAACACATTTCATACTCCATGCGATAAAAGAAATCATTCATCTGAGGGTACACAAATCAACCAATATTTAACACATTCCAAACTCCCTGACACAAAAATGAGAATGTAAACCAAATCATTAGAAATGGTTTAGTTCCAAAAGGTCAAGTCCCTGCTGAGGCAAATCAAAGCACCTTATCACTAACTACTCCACTTAACTTAGCCAAGCAAGTTTTGGTAAATTTCAAAATAAGATAATACCGTATACTAAAAGGTTTAGCCTGAAATTAAAGTCACAATTAATTAGCTAATTATACATAGAAACATCAACATCGTCACAATAGGTCATGATAATTTCCGAAATCAGAACTTCCCCAAATAGGCAAATGGACCCATTTATTCCTCCATAGAAGAATAACCGCCATTCAAGAACTGCTGAAAGACCTCTTTGTACTTGTTTTCAACTAAGTTGGCGATGTCTCGCGGTGATTGACGTCTCAAAGTATTCCTACTCAAATAGCGCACTTCAAAACAAAAAGGAAAAGATAAGTCAATTAGAGAGAATGAAAAATGGATCAACAACAGAATTAATAAAACAAATAAAATTTACAGAAATCCGGAATAATACCATGGACAAGGCCACCGGTACCACGATCCAAAGTCGACGCGAAGCAAATGACAGATTCTGCTAGGTCAAGAGCTTCTTGGAGACTCATTTCATACCTGTACCTATAGAAATATATGGATCAAGACTCTGACGTGAACATCATTATGTACAAATTAAAATATAATATCTTTTTTTTATGTCAAAAAAATAAAAAATAATTAGTATTTTGTTAAATTACAAGAGTCAAGCGAGGAAGGCATACCCCTGGTCGAGATAGTGGTTTACTTGCCTCATTGCACCACTTCCAAGCAGATGCTTAAATCCATTAGGTCCGAAATTTTTAAACTGTTCAAACAACCTAGACCCTTTGGAATCTATCACATACACATGAGGCCCCTATACAAAAATTTAAAATAGTGACAACAGATCATAAAAGTGTTTGTATTGAAGCACCTCTCATAATAATCTCGTAACAAAAAGAAAGAGCTTGAGATAAATTGAAAAGAAAGAAAGAAATTCTCTGCTCCTTCCTTAATTCGTCGTCCTTAATTAGGACGAATTGTTAAGGTCGACAGAAAATAATACTACTAATACTTACCTCTTCCGGTTGCCATCCAGCAATAATAAATATTGTGTCATCCACACCTTTGTATTTCGGGATACACAACATCATTTCCAATGTGCGAGCCACCAATATAGGATCACTCTTATTCAAGAATTCCCTGTTTTCCTCAATCTAACAACAAAAGTTAATTTGAACCAACTCACATGCCTTTGAATAGCAGTTCCAATCATCAAACTAATACGGTAAAACTATGGGCTTTTTTATAACAAAAAAATAAAAAAGGAAACAGTTTATGTATATTAAAATCCTGGCCACACAATATCTAATAGCAGCACAAACACACGTTCTCATTTCAAATAGTATTTGAAATATTAAACCAATTCAGGCATATCGAATTTTAGAAACATTTTTAAAAATAATAAAATAGGATGAACTTTCCTAAAAATCAAACTAATTACTTGATCTTTTGATTAAACCGCCCAAATTCTTTACACAACTTTTAATGTAGTAGCAATAGTAAGAGTAGAATATGCATAACTCGACAATTTGCATATAAATTGTATTAGTAAAGCTTGTTGATCATTAATTCAACATTTTATAAGGAAATCCATCTATTTATAAGTTATTACTAAAATTTAAAAGAGGGAGAGAAATTAAATGATTCTAAAGTGGTTATAACAGACAAATTCTAAAAAATTGTTGATAATTAAATTCTAATATTTATGTTTTGGAGTGTTTTTTTGGGGAGGGGGGGATGGCTTAGAAATGTGAATAAAGAAAAATATAGGTCGCATTTGGGAGAAGAGAGAAATAATGAGTTTGGATTTCACAAATTCGATTTTGGCATAAAGTCGGATTTTGTAAATTCGAGTTCTTATTAATACAGAAAATTACCTATCTTAATTTATTGATTAATGTAATTATTAATATGCAAATTCATATTTTATTCAATATATTTCTTTTCAAAAATCAAAAATACTATTTCAAAAATCCCCCCGTTGACTTAATATTAAATATGGTCAAAGTGCATAAATAGTGTCAAATGACCAGAAAGTTATATTCTGAAATGTAGAAAACTATTTTAACCAAATATCAAAATCGAAAACTAACAGGTGTATTCGGCCTAATGTAAAAGACCATTTCCAAAATTTAATCAACCCGAAATCAAATTTGATATTTACTAAATTGTTTGGACGCTTTCTCATTGGACTCCTTTGCTCCATTTCTTTCTGGCCCAGTTAGAAAGACAACCCAAACAAATACTGTATAAAATATTTGCACGTTCATAATTTCGGAAAATAAATATCCTCCGCCCCAAATAAATATTTGCACATTTATTTATTCATCATCCATTACATTAACTTCTAATATTACACAAGAAAAACATTGATAACGGAGATTACAATATACCCCCAGCAAATATGGCTTAACATCTAGTTAATAATTAATATATATAGTAAAAACAAACTTGAATATATTTGGGGAGGACAATGCTAACCTGGTTCTCGAGGGCTGCAGCAGTAGACTTAATAAAATCAGCATTTCCCGCACCCGCAACTACACTATTGGACGAATCCAAGTCGAAAATTTTTCCGAGGAGTTGGAACTAGAAGTTATTAAAAAAAAAAGTTAATGAAACAATTTGATATCAAAATGCATATAATTAAGAACCATAACCTTTTTTCTTTTTTGAAAAAAAAAACCCTAACACTTAGTATATAAGTATATATATATATATATATATATATATATATATATGAACAACTCACATCTCATAGTGCCGAGTCTCATTAGGGAGTCCGACGCTACAATAGCATGCTCCTCTTCGCCATCCTTAATTACCATACAAAGTAACGTCGTTCCGTGAACTTCCATCTTCAATTTCTGACAAGAAAATTAATTATTATTTTATAATATTACTACTATAACTATAGACTATCATTAATCAATCATTTTGTCACTACAAAGGATATAAGATCACAACAACAAAATCGATATTTTCCATACATAACCGTATCTCTTCTATCTATTTATGTACCGTTATATAGTATATCAGAATTTTTATTTTTTCATACAATAAGTGATGATAGTAATGTCTAAACACAGGCAATCAATTCAGAAGTAGACACATATATTCACACATCTAATGAACAGTGGACCGATTAATTTTGACTTTAACATACCATAACAGGGATGCAATTAAGATTCGCCACCTTACAAGTGACAAGTGGACATGAGAGCACTAAATAACCACTCAAATTATAATTAAATTCAACAATATTTACAAAGAAAACCTAAACACAAACAAGAAAAAGTCTATGATGTATTGTCATAGAGATTTAAATTACAACCAGAACAAAAAATACAGTTACTTGTAATTTTTATCGAAAACCAAAACATCAACCAGATTAAACAACAAAGATAAATTAATGGAATAGAAACATATTTTACAAGTGGACATGAGAGCCTGAGATTTAAATTATTTCTTCATTTTTTATGGGGAAAAAAATGAAAAAGAAACCTCCAAAAATTATAAATGGAAAAAACAGAAGCCCGGCCCATTAGATATCATTTTGTTAGGAGATATAAAAGGAACCCCGGCCCAAAAGGGCTTTGTGTGTTTCTTCAAAACAGAAGATACAAGTACAAGATTGGTCATTTCTTCATCTCTTGGTGCTGTGATCCGAAATCTGCCCTTCGGAGTTTTCATTTTCTTAACTACCTAGCTTGAACGTGGGAGTTGTGATTCGGGTCAAGAGGCTTACCCGAAGGTGGGAGTTCTTTGCCTGGGTCGGGTGAAGGTGGAATTGTTTCAGTAGTGACGGAAATTGATGATGGAGAGGATTTGGGTGTGGAATGTTGATGGATGCATGTGTACTTCCAAGGATCAAGGATTGTTTTGGATTGAAATTCTTTTTTTTTTTTTTCCTTTTCTTAAACAATAATCCCCGAACTAAAAATGAGAATCCAAACTGGACAATAATTATGTAACGGAGGGAGTATTTGATAGTAATTTATATATTCACTTAATTAGATCTTACTAAAACTAACTTCAAACACACACACACACACAAAAAGAAGAAGGAGGAGGAGGAGGAGGAGGAGGAGAATGAAAAATGAAACATTACCTCAGAGAGAGAGGAGAAGAGAAGAACAGCATGCAGCTAGGGACTTTGGAGGCAAGAATGACAAAGGAAGCTTTAAAAAAAAAAGATGAAGAGAACTTAAGGAAGGAAGAAGAGACAAAGAAAGAGAGGAGGGAATCATTTGTTATTTAGCCAAAACAATGGAAAGGGAGGGATTGACGAGGAAAAAGGACACTGTTTTCTTAGCCAAAATTGGAAAGGAGAATATTGATGAGCAAATATTAAGAGATCTGTTCCATTATTATCACATGCATGCAGGCTTTAGGGAAGCATCTTTTAGGTTTTCTATGAACTCAGGCAGTAAATATCATTTACTTTTTGGTGGGTGAAAGCACGTTTATTATATATATAAGTTATATCCCTGTGTCATTTGAAATTACCGGACAGAAACTACGTTCATCACCGTCCCGCCGGACCAAAACCGCCACCTCACCACCACAAGCGGCCGTGGTACAACAAACCAACCAGAGCTACCGCCTGCCGTTATTTTGTTTTGTAAGTTGTAACTACGTACTTACTCCAATTAAAGAGCGAGGGTTAGGGTTTTCTTATTTCTTAATCTTTCTTATTCGTACTACCTCTATTTTTTATATATATATAATTTGTCGTTTTAGGTTATGCACAATGATTAAAAAAATAATGCATGATTGAGAATTTTATTTTTCAGTATAATACATTTCTTACCCTTAATTAAGGATTATGAAACTCTACAAAATTTTGAAATTGAAGTGAAAAATAGGTATTTGTCATTAATATATGTTACTCAAAATAAAGAAAGATAAATGTGAAATTAGAAATAATGTATTCAATGCTGCATTGAAATGAAAAATGACAGATAAAAAAAAAATTTAATTCACCCTAGTAGTACATTTTTTTTTTCCTTGGAAAACCAAAGAAGCGAAGAAACCTCGACTCGGAATAATCAGTTTATTTATTAATTTATTGTTTCGTGCATTAATTTAGTCCCAAAGGAAATGCCAATGTATATAAAAGTGGCAGCTATTCAATTTTGGAGTTGTTAGTTGCTACGCATTTATGATGGACAACTCCAATTTTTTCTTGTCCTTTTTGTGTGTGCTCGCGCTCTCTCTCAATACAAAAATAAAAATAAAACTAAGGCCGATATACTATATTCCCTCCATATATTCCATTTGAATGACTTTGTTGTGCACTACTTGTTACATATTCTCACTATTTTTCTTTGTTTTGGAGCAGAGGTAATATATAATTTCATTCAGTTTCAATAAAAGCACTAAATCATATTTGACAAAATTAATTAATAAAAGAATGTCAGAATTTACTGGAATTGATTAGAATGATTAAATCTCATTTCAAAATTTCTCTACAGAACGGGATGCCAAATTGAAAGTGACACGTCCAATTTTATTGCCCCGAATTAGTTCGATTGCTTGAGAAAACATGTACTCCCTCCTAAAATCCAAGTAAGATCATCATTATTTTGAAACAGATTCAAATTATAATGTATCTAATTGATGAAATAATATAATTTGCTTCAATATAACTCGAGTTAAAGCGAAGATGTGTTATCATGAAAAAGTGGTCAAAAAAGAGTTAGTTACTTTCACTTTGAACTAGCTGATTTGTCAAAAAGAGCTAACTGTTTTCAGCTAATCAGGTGTGTCCTCCCCAACGGTTAGTCCTCCATTGTTTTGCTTTTCTTGGAATATCTGGATGAAAAGAAATTGTAGGCGGTGTAGGATGAAAGGGAAATGATTATAATGAACAATTGATTGCAGGGTATTGATTTCATTATTTCGATCATATGGCGGTTGAGTTTTCTTTAATCTATACTGCGATATGGGGAAATTGTTATAAGAGTATAGTATTCTTTTTTTCTTTTCTAAAAAAAAAAATAGATAGCTTCTTGTATTATTATTTTCTTTTTTTCTTCTTCATGGCAAAAGAATAAAATTTAAAAGACCATTAAAATTCAAGAAATTCATGCTCGAGCTCGGGATTCGGGAAGGTGTTGGTTTGAAAATCAGATGAAGTTCTTATGTTTTGGACGAGAGCAGACATGGAGAGCGGGATTGATGACGCGGTGCGGAAATCCAACAGAGATCAAAAAACAAGAAAAATAATAGTTTGCTTTAGCTTCTTGCCAATTGCTCAGGGAAGACATCACCGGCCTCCGCCCACCAACATCTGGGAAACATTTTAAGAGTAAATTTGGATTGGGAGAAACCAAACTGTGATTAAGAGATGGACAAGAAATTAAAACAGAACTCATCTTTGTATTATAAACATAAAGAATTGACGCCCACCCAATGAAAATCAAAGAATTGCTTGAAGGGGTGGCGGAATCGCAGGAGGGAGAGTATTATATTCATTTGACATCGGGGCAATTTAAGAACGATGAATCTTTTTTGCTCTCGCAGCTAACTACTTATTGTTTTAACAATATCGCCAGCCTTGGATAAATGTTAGAAATTGTCCGGTTACTATTGATTGAAGGTCGCAAAAATATGCAACCAATTGGTACGTTCAACTTCACTAATTTTAACTTAAGATGGGCCACTATTGTAGTATTATTAAAGTCTAACCCATATAAATCGTAAGGGGATGCTCCATAGTCAACACATATCACTACTTACAAAATACAGATGCACTGAAGGATGGAGATTGCAGGATTCCTTAACAAAGATAACACATTTATACATTAACAGTTTAGTTCAATTGAAGGTGAAAGGTAAACAAAGCTGCAACGTCCAAATTGAAGCTACCAAAAATGCTTTCTTTCAAGGGAAAAAGGGGGGAAAAAAGGGCAAAACAAAAATCCAAAAGCTATATCCCCTTGCTACACAAATCCTAATAAATGCAACTTCCTTTAGGTTTTCACAACCCAACATAAAAAGACAAGGAAAATCATTTCATCAAGCATTAAGCTAGGGAAGACAGGAACCATTATTATCTTCCCCACTACAGACATTTCATTCCATTCATACAACATAATTGAGGTTGAGTTCATCACACATACAAAGTAGGGGGTCTGAAAAGAGGGAAACCATCTACTAGATGTGGTGGCTTGAGCTGATTTCCCCACAATTAGTAACCATTAGCAAAAAGCTGGAAACAAGCTTTTCACACTCTCTTCAATATGGAGGATAAGCTGAGATGTGTTCATAAACCTCGGGCCACCAGAGCTGCTTGTTTTCATTTCGCCATTTTCCAATGTCAAATCCAGAAATGTTCATCTGACAACCAGAACTCCCTACACGGTAAACTTTAATAACAACAAAGAACATGAATGTCAGGGGAAAAGATAACAAGAATTAAATGAACTGAGCTTCAGATACAAACTAATGAAAAAGAGAGATGATACGCGGCACAGAAGATCACAGGCATACCACTCGCAAAATCACCACTGTAAAGAGCTTTACAAGCAGCATAACAGATGGCATCTTTTGCCAAATCTTCAGCATCAGTTTCAGACATCATCTTGTGCCACCTATATAAATCACCCAGAAACTCTTACGAATACTCATCTGAATGCGCGAAAAAATCCAACAAATACTAGAACCCAATGCAATCTTCAAACAAAATCAGATTGGAGAAAAATTATCAAACAAGCGAAAAATTAGATCCTTTAGGTTTAGTGCAGTGTCTAGTTGCATACTAACAACCATGTTCACATGTTACAACCCAAGATGACTAAAACCACTATAAAAGGCGGATACCTGAAACCCACATACACACGAGCCCAACTTGAACCAGATCCAGTAGAAGACAGCCTCTTCTTTTTCACCACTTCCCCCCTGTGGTTCACTTGATACAGGACTGGACCCTGCATAAGAACAGAAACCACCATGATTTATAATAATATGCGTAAGTAGAGCTGAAGGAAACTCTAGTGAACTATAAAACCCAAAGAAAGAGTACCCAAAGACTTACATCATCGCCCCACCCACCAATCAATACTCCTACTGACAATCCCTGAGGAGCCAAATCGTCAGCCAGCCACTTTGCCACCTTTTCAACAACTACTGTTTTCCCACCCTTGAGTTCCTCGTCACACTAACATACACATAAAGACAAATTCTAAGCAAACTGTCTTAGATTGCAGCTAAACCTAACAAGAAAAGATCAGTATACAGGTGAGTAAGTACCTTCCTTTTCAAATTGGAGAGCAAATATTCACTTCCTCCAGAAATGGTGGCAACAATGTGAGATGTAATTTGAACAAGCTTTGGGGAAGGAGATCTTGATGCTAAATTTAACACGAGTTGGGAATGCCATTTAATACTTCAGAAAAGATCACATAAAATATAAATAGGATCCACATATTAAAACAACTCACAATGATCAGCAGCTACAATAACCGCGTCTTTGAAAATAAAAGCTAAAGTTGTGGTTCCCCTTTCTACCTGAGGGAGTGCTTCATTAGGAACCTAAGGACAGCACCACAATTTATTTTAAAAAAAAAAAAAAAATCGATCAAAGCCAATGGGAGAAAATACAAAAAAAAAAAAGAAGAAAGATTAAAAGATAAAAAGAAAGAAAAGGTACAAGTATTATAAGAAGGGGGAAAAAATAACCTTGTTGTAGACCAATATAAACTTTTTTGAGGGTGAGATATTGCAGTGGCATTCACGGTAATGACCTCGAGCATGAAGAAACTCGAAATCCTCTGTTTTCACCTTCAATCAAAAACAAGACAAGGAAAACGTCAGAAAGTAAAAGGTTGCTTTATTTGGTATGTATTCTTGACCTGATTGTTCTGTCCAAGATCGCATTACTCAGCTTAAAATACATTTTCAGAGTCTGACTAGAAACAGAAAGCAGGATAAACCTTAATTCGAAGAGAAAAGATAGTTTAGAGCAGCAAAATATCATATCAGACCCGAAATCTTTGATGCTGGACCTTCAAGAGGCGGCAACCAACCAGAATAAAGAGAATCGGACCAAAATAAGCAAAGATGATTAAAAAATGATACATATACATTAATTCTTGTTCTGGGTAAGATGAAAAATTCGACCAATAACTATGCAGCGAAAGGAGCCTTGAAAATGAAGAAGAATAAAGGATTTAAAAAATGCAAAGAGATTTTAGCTTTTTTTTTTTTACCTTCTCAGGTTGTAGAGATGTAGAGCTTCCCTTATAATTGAAAAATGGGGATATCTCCATTGAGGCCGCAAAGTTGAAGGAAGGAGCACCAAAGTACTTCCACAAATCATCATCCTCTTTTTTCACCTTCATTTCACGCAAACAGAACATCGAAAACAAAGTCAATTTACCTTGACTGGTCGGCATAAGTATATCTAAAGAATCTGACAATATATCTAAAGAATCTGACAAAGAACAGAACAGCAGGATAAGCCCTAATTCAACGAAGAAAGAGAATTTAAAGAGCTCAAAGTTTGGCCACTCCATCTAATGGGCTCAGACAAACCTCCAAACCAAACAAAACAAAGAAAAGCAGATGAAAATTGGGAAATTTGATTCGACTAACTGTCAAAGTATGTAACTATCGAAGTACTTTGACCCTAAGGATTCAACAAAAAAAAAAAAAAACCCCAAAAACAAAGGAGCCCAAGATTTTTACAAACCTCTTTCGGTTTTAGAGAGAAATTATCGCTCTTGCTGGAGGAACCAGGCTCCACAGAAGCTGATTCAAGAGAAGCTCTCTTGTTGGAGACAGAAGTCAATTTCTGAAAAAAACCCTTGATGGTAGAAACGTGAGGCACTCCCGAGGGAACAGTCCCAAGAGAAGGTCCACTCCCATTGAATTCAGTATTGATTCTCGCCTTCAACAGAAAGAAAGATAAGACACAATCAAAATGAGATAAAACAGGACAAAAACTAGTAAAAAGGAAACTCATCAGCTCTAATTTAAGTACATATGGAACTCGACTACATCGAATGGCACAGTGAACAAACCCTAAATTTTATGAAGAAAAGGGGAGTTTTGAAAAATCAACAAGAGATTTACCGTATCCTGCGAATTTCCACAATTCTCTTTCCCCAAAGCGCTGTTGCAGGAGATTGGTTTCGGAGAAGTATTCTTATTGAAGTCCAATAGCCTCACATCTCTTTCTGCTTCCAAGAGGAGGGTAGAATTGCAGCGTATAGCCCCAAAAAAAACCCCACCCCCATCGGATTCCCCGTCACTCGTCATTCTTTTCTCGCCTTCCGTCGAGGAAAGATTGATTAACAAGAACCAACGAAATAAACCCGATGCTTTGCCCTAATTTTCAGATTCAAGGTTCTCCGCAGCTAAAAAGGAATTCCCCCGATATTCCTCAGTCCTCAGCTAACAAGGAATATATCTATCTGGAAAAATCGACTAGAAGCGAAACGAACCCACAGATAGCCTTTTCCATGCCTTTCAAGGTCAAAAAGGTCAATCTCTGGTATTTACTCCTTTATATACAAGTATAAATCATAAAAATTAATTAGTAATCTCTGGTACAAAAAAAAAAAAAAAAACTATTAATTAATTAATGGAGATGAATAAATAAATATTTTCACAAACCCTTGTATATTAAGAGATGATGATTTCAGAACAAATGAGTGTTCCCGCTCAATCGGAAAATCTCTCTGGACATGTGTCATAATGGTCTAAATTCGTAAAAAAAAAATTATTTTAAAGTAATTTTTGTATTTTATTTACCAATAATAACTATCGTATTGGTTTTTAAAATTAAAAATTATCCATACAACTTTTTTGGTCATTACAAGTTAAAAACACCTTATTAAACATATAAAATCATCTTATTGCCAGGAAAAAAAAAGGAAAAAAGTTTACATTGTGTCTGGACTTTCTTTTTTGTTTGGTTTTTTGGACAGAGATAATATAATTTCATTCAGTTTAAATAAAAACACTAAATCATATTTGAGAAAATAAATTAATGAAAGAATATCAGAATTTACTGGAATTGATTAGATTGATCAAATCTCATTTCAGAATTTTTCTACAGAACGGCATGCCAACTTGAATGTAACATGTCCAATTTTATTGACCCCGAATCAGTTCGACTGCATTACAAAACATGTACTCCCTCCCAAAATCTAAAAATTATATCGTCATCATTTTGAAACAGAGTTAATATCAAAATATAATATATCTAATCAATGAAATAGCATAATTTGTTACAATATAACTCGAGTTGAAGCGAGGACATGTGGTCATGAAAATGTGGCTCATGTTCAAGATATGATCATTGTAAGTATGAAGATGCATGAAGGGTCACATATAATGATTTGTATGAAGTTATTGACGGATTTCCTACTTAAGCCAGTTTTGCACAGCTGTTGTAGTTTGGAATATGCGGCTAATTAAATTCATATAATTTTCCAGACTGTATTTTTACTTTTTTGTACAATTTGTATCGTATATAAATACCTAAATTAGATAATAATTTCGGAACATAGAAAATATAAAATTAGTTTTTTTTTGCTGTGTTAATTCGAGCCAAAACCTAATCCGATTATTAGAACAGACAAACCCACCACTGCTAGGATCAATGGGTAAAATGAAATTACTTGATTTGGAAAGGTTGCAGTATTAACTGTAATAGAGGCCACATTTTTTTAAGAAACTAATTAGAAAACGATAATGATTGACATTCCTATGAATAAATTACACATTCCCTATGATTATTGCATGACCCAATGAGGGATTGCACATTTCCGCTACTTACATACCTGAAACGTTGCATTTAAGTTTCCCTCTTTACATGTTAAAAAAAAAAAATGAAAGAAGAATAAAAGAAATAAAATTAAAAAATTTCACTCTTTATAACAGTCAACAATTAGAAAAGGATAATTTCAAAATTATATATGTACCACATTATCACTCATTATATCAATCTACTATATGGATTATTTTACCTTTTTGGTGTATCTTGAACTTACTTTCTTTGTGTTTAAAAAATACATTAACTTAATTTATTCTATTTATTACAAATGTAAAAAAAGTACATTAAAGAAAAACTAAAAAGATAGTACATTATTTTTTTAAACAGAAAAAAAGAGAAGAAAAGGAGCGAAAATTGGCGTTATTTTCCCGTTATTTTTGTGTTTTTCACTCCCACAAACTTAAGGACAAGGTTTCTATTTTATCGGATGTCCCAAAACTTGAGGTGAAGTGATGGACCTTTCTCCTTCTTCTACTCCTGCTAACTACTACTCCTTCCCCTTTTTTTTCAATTAAATAGGCGCAATTTTTTTTTTGGAAATATTTTAATTAAAGCATTGGAAAAAAAAATAATTATTAAAAAGGAACATGGTTTATAATTATGAATAGTAAAATAAAATTATGACTGCTTTAACCTTTACTGCAGAAGAGCTGTCCAGCTAATAAAATAGAGTTTTACATTTTCAATGTCGAGTAATTTCCATGACTAAAAAAGGATAGTTAGATCAAGCACAAAAGGAAAATTAGATTAGATGAAGAGGAGAATAGTCCTTATATGAAATGGTTGATCGGCTGGGAATCTTAACATCTATGATTGCCGATTCTGTGTATTATATTTTAGCTGATAATTTTTCTGTGATGACAAACTAAGGTTTTTATAATCTTTTTAGGAATCAAAGTACTCCCTCCGGTCCCTAATGTAAGGCATTTTGATTTGTAATATATTTCACCTAGTTTACGTTTTTAATTGAAGGAAGGGGAAAAAAAAATCTTAAAAATACGTTTTGATATTTGTGCGTTCTTCTAATTATTAAGAAATATTGTTAAAATTTTTTATTTAATTTAACATGTTTATTAGGTAAAATTTAGGATAAATTAAAAATGTCTTTATGTTAAGGACCAGAGGGAGTGTATTTAAAGTGTCTTAATAATATTAATAAAAAGTAAATAAGTCTCATGCCCTTCATATAATGATTATGATCTTTACTACCCCTTAATCAAAGCTTTCTCAATATTTCCATAATTATTGAAAATGTTGAAAGCCACATCGATGTTGAAAGCCTGGAAAACATCAAGAGCTGGAGATGTCATAATTCGACATGAATAGAGATAAAGAACGGGGAGCTAGACGATTTTTTGATTGATGATGATGATCAAGTGCATATAATCAGGTATGGCGATTCTGGTCCCGCGCTAATCCTCACAGGTTGGGGGCGGAAACTCTAATTAGCACTTGGAAGAGTATTGAAGCTTTGATTCCCGCATGTCCCCTACTGTCATCAAAAGACTAAAGTCCCGTACTGAAGATAGTTGCCAAAATATGACGAGAGTTTCACCTTTTGAAGGGCCAATCACGGGGTACGAGTACATTAGTACTCGAGTTTTACCAAATGGCATGTTTCATTGGACTTTATGTCGGAACTGAGGAACTGCAGAGATTGCAGGCTTCATGTGCTCAAATGCTGGTATTGACTCGAACAAAACTCCCTTAGCCTTTTCAACAAGGTTGTCCATTCCACACTGGTTTCCTTGTTGCCTCAGAGGCTCAGAGGAATATATTGTTCAGGATCATAGAAAATGCAGGGAAAAGATTTATCCTATGTGAGCTACAAACACTGGTTTCCCCGTTGCCTGCTGCAACAACTCAGAAAAGGATCTTCCTGCTGTGCTTGGTGCAGAACAGCTTCAGTATGCAGGGTCGATTTTCAGCCGTTCAGAACTGCCACAGACTTTTGGCGATTCAGGAGATTGGCAAGGCCAATGGAAGCATTCCCTATATTTCCAAATGGAAAATTGTTAAGGGTCTAGCGGGTTGTCTGCTGTGAGCATCTTATCTTCCCAATTCTTTGCCACTCGATGGCAAATTGACTGTGCTAGCAATGTTTTGGGTAGAATAATTTCAGTTCATAATCGACAACCTTAACTGGAAACACATGTTTAACCTAAACACTAACACACAATATATATCTATATATATATAGTATAAGATATGCATTCTTGTGGTGATCAAAAGTTACAGTAGCGCAATAAAATTAACCCAGATCAAAAGAGGGATTGATTATAAGTCCTCACTTTCAAATTTCATAGTCAAAACAGTAAAGAGTATAATGTTCATCTCTTCACTACTACTACTACTACTACTACTACGAATAAGCGGTGATGGTTTTTTGACAGGTCCGCTCTGCAGTGAAACAAGCCAGGGGTGTAATTACTGAAATTGTCACTTCATACGGATACGCTCTTTCCAGGAGTCAATGGCGCTTTTTACACTCTCACTTTCAAACAGTGAACCGCAGCTCCCAACTGGAAAAGCAAAACATCATCAGCATGTCATTCAAAAGTCATTAAAATCTCTAATGCCACTAACAGAATGATGCATCATATTAAAACACCTTCAGCTACATTCATGGTCAAAACATAAGCAGTTAGGCAAGTAAATCAACAGCAACTAAACTAAGTAGCATATTATAATGCAGCTAGATCCACAAGGCCTTGTTTAAAACAAAGAAAGACAATGAAAGAAGTCTGAATGAGGCCACAAAGGCCGAAACAGAAGGATGTTGTAAACACTAATCACAACCACCAGGACAGCTCAACCAGGATCGATTTATGGCAAATCTATTCCACTACATAACACACACAATACAGAAAAGCATCCTACCTTGATGGCGTTTTCTGCGGACTCAAACGACTCAAATTGCACAAATCCCAAACGCTGTCGCTGCTTAGAAGAAACCGGACAAGTCATAAAACGTGAAAAGGCATAACGGAAGGATATAACAACAGAAGGCTAGCAGACACTCAAAAATTATCCAATACGAACCTTGTTATCTTCGAAGGTCTTTCCAAAACGCTTAATCGGACCAAATCTTTTTATGTCCTTCTCAATTTGATCATAAGAAACATCGTGAGCAAAATTGTAGATGCATATGGAGTTTCCTGTAATTTCAAGATATACTTAATTTTTATTAGCCGCACCCTACCACTATGAAATTAAAGCTACCCCAAAATTACTTTGACAAACACATTTTTCTTACAATATATGGACAAGAATTCCACGTCAGCTCAAGTGCAGCATTGCAGCACTGAACCTGCATGCATGGGATCTCAAACGACAACAACAGGACCACTTTTGGAAGCTTCCGCTGATGGAAGGCAATGCGTGCAGTCCAAGCTGATGCTCAACGCTGATCACTGCAATCAACCTTGGCGGGGTTGTTACTGGAAACAACCGTATCCAGCTCATTAATCCATGAGACAGTAATTAATCCAATGGATGAGAATAAATTTAGCATGTGCATATTGTAAATTATTGACCATTAGATATAGTTGTGTTAGTTTAGAATCTGTAATTACAGCTATATATGATTAACCGACTTAGATTAGTCGCTGGGTATATATATAGGATCATACTTGTAAAGCAGATATAGAGATATATACACACCAAAAGATTCCAGAAAGCTCTTCT